TGTAACTGAATTTACACTATTTTATGTTCTTATGATACATGTATCTTATGATTAGAATATACACAAATGAGCTGGCAACGTGATTATGTCGCACTAGTAAAATATATTTAGTATAGTGTATGCCAGACCAAGTTTTTTTTTAGGACCTTGTGAATCCAGTCAGCCTTAATATATTGGTCCTGGTGCATTGCATTTTTCATTCATTAGGTCTTATATTAGACCCTTGGAAAACCTTATATAGGAATTGTTAGTTTGAGTGATACCTGCACCAGAACATCCAGTGGCAAATATTACATAGATATTTGGGGTAATATCTAATTACATGCTTTATACTAGACTTAATCGTCAGATTTATAACTTGCTAGCTCATTAGGTAACAGTCTGCAAGAAGACATGTCCTTACCCTGACACATTATTCTGACTCCTTGCTTATAAGTCTTTGCTCTAAGGTATAAAAGCTTTGTGCTTGGCGGAGAAGCAGCAAATAGCTATATCAAAAAGTTTGAAAAGGATTGAACTCATGAACCCCTGTACTTGAAGGTTAAGAATGGTACCATGAGATAGAGAGACTGTTACTGAGGAGGTTAACATAAGTTCAACCTGAGAGGATGTAAAAATACATGTATATGAATGTGTATAATTAAATGTAATTTTCCGAGGAGGGGTACCTTTCATTTATTAACAATTCATTATAGATAATTTTTAATCTATGGCTTGTGGACATGTTTTAAAAATACTTCATTTGATGGGTCTTAAATTTGGCAATCAAACTTGTAAAAATGAAAGAATTTTTTTTTAACTTACTGGTATTTTTAATAGAATAACAAATTTTTAAGAATCAGGACAAAGTGTGAACTTCAGTTAAAATTTATGAGACTTACAACATCACTACTTAAAACTACTATTAAACCATGATCCCTTTTCAGTATATGTGACATTGACAGTGATTTTTATCCTAAAAAAAAGGGGTGTTTAGTATCTGTAAAATACATGCTTGACCCAGTTTGTGTTGCCTTATTTGGGACGAATACCATAATGTTTTGTTCTCATTTTAGTACCAGGTCTACTGCACTTGTTACATTTTCTTTTTATGGACCAGAGAATTTGAAAAGTTACTGGTCTAAGTAGGAACATTTTACACTCTTAATAATGCTCATTGCTGTATTATATGTACAGTTGCATTTTTATGCAACCACCGCTACGGTTAAGTTTTACCCTTGTCCGTCTGTATGTACGTCCCAAAATTGGTTTTCGTTCTCTAACTTGAGTTTGCCTCAACCAAATGTTATGAAACTTATACACAATGCTAATTACCACAAAACACAGATCAAGTTTGAATTTTGGTGGCTTCACCTTAACCGTTCTAGAGTGATGCCCCTTTATAAATGAAAAATTGCAAAAATTTTAGTTTCCGTTCTCTAACTTAAGTTTGCCTCAACCAAATGTTATGAAACTTATACACAATGCTTATTACCACAAAATACAGATCAAGTTTGAATTTTAGTGGCATCACTCTAACTGTTCTAGTGTTATGCCCCTTTATAAATGGAAACATTGCTAAATTTTTAGTTTCCGTTCTTTTACTTAAGTTTGTCTCAACCAAATATTATGAAACTTGTACACAATGCTTATTACCACAAAATACAGATCAAGTTTGAATTTTAGTGGTGTCACTTTAACCGTTCTAGAGTTATGACCCTTTATAAATGGAAAAATTGCAAAATTTTTAGTTTCCGTTTTCTTACTTATTTTAGTTTGCCTCAACCAAATGTTATGAAACTTATACACAATGCTTATTACCACAAAATAAAGATTAAGTTTGAATTTTGGTGGGGTCACTTTAACCATTCTCGAGTTATGCCCCTTTATAAATGGAAAAAAATGCAAAATTTTTAGTTTTCGTTCTCTAACTTAAGTTGCCTCAACCAAATGTTATGAAACCTTTACACAATACTTATTACCACAAAACTCAGATCAAGTACAAATTTGGGTATCGTCACTTTTATTGTTCTTGAGTTATGTCCCTTTATAATGTTGTATGCAAGCAGGGGTATCATCTGTGTCCATGGGGACACATTCTCCATTTATTATTTTTTTAAAGATATCTAAACTTACGTGTATTTTTTTTGGTGCTGGATAAAAAGATCATAAACTTTGATAAAAGTAAATTAAAATGATAGCTGCTAAAAGAAAAATGCTAAATATGATATACATCAAGTATCAATTTCTGAAAACACTGTTTTGAAATGAAATACACCTAGCAAGTTGCAAGAAGTTATGGGTAAAGTTTGAGCATGTCATCTATTAACACCTGAAAATTATAGATGTATTGGATTTCTGACTTTTAAAGGTCACAATCAGGTATAACTCAGAAAAAAAATTGCATCTGTAATTTGATACTCTCTGCTTAAAGGTGTAAGGTCAATGCACCATACCATTAAATAAAAAAATCTCCTGACTGCAAATAGTTAACATACTTTATGATGATGTACTGAGCTCCCATACATTACAGTTTTTGGTTACTAAATCAATCTTTATCAATGTTGGTCTACTTCTTCAACTTTATGGGATGTGTAGCAATAACAGACATCAATCTTAGATAGAGTTATCTCCCTTTGAATGTGAAATTACCTGAGCCAAGGGAATTGATTTAAATTCCTTTTACTTTAAGTTTTAAAACACAGATTTTTAACACTTAAATTATTTTTGTGGCCTTAGATTAATCAGACTTAGACTTTGGCATCTAATGTAAATTTTTTCAATCAACCACTTACAACATTTGAGCATTTGCCAGCCCAGTCTGCCTTGCAGCTGAAGTTTTGGTGAAACACAAATGGATATAGTTAAATATCTGTTGATTAACATGCAGAAATTGAAAAAAAAAGTGGGAGGTTAATTTTCTCTGGGGTCTTTGTAAATTAATTATCCAGAGGTAATACAAAAGAATAAAGAAATGAATAAAATGAGACAGCAACCCAATAACTAAAAGAAATCTAAAGGGCAAAATGGCTTTTAAAAAAAGACGGGAGCCTAAACAATATTTAAAGCTCTAATTGTTGTCAGTTTGTTTTCTTAATCATTTTTTTCCTGATGAAAATTTTGAAAATTTTGTCACATGTACTGAAAAATGAGTTTGTAGGAAGGGTGTTTGTTTTTCACCGATTTTTTTACGATAAACAAACAGGAAGAAGATTATATTTATATATGCTACTACATTCCTCCTACAATCTGAAGTGATCATTAGGAACAAGTAGTTGCATTAATAAAGGAAGAAGGAAATAGATATGCATGTAAACAGTAGTTCACATTCAAATGTAAACATTTCTCAGAATTATTTTTAATTAAATGCCCGCCTCATTGTCAAATGGAAATTTCTTGTGAATTTCAGAGCTATGATACAATGTTTAAATATAGATTTTAAAGTTTGGTAAACTAATATTAAAGATCATTGCTTCTTAGTAGCACATCTTTACCATGATTGATTGTAGGCATTGAAGCCCCACTCTCAGAACTGAGGGGTTTTATTATAAATAAAGTGTTTTTTTTTTTCATTTTTGATAGACTAATAAAATTGAGGTTATATAGTATTGTATTTATTTAGAACAAGTATCTTTTAATTTTACAATTTAATATAAAAAAAAAAATCATTCACTAATGAATTGTGGCATTGGGGATATAAATAATTTCTCCCGCTTTCTATTTCTAAGTTGTACTTACTAATTCTAAGTTTGGACTTTTTTTTCTGCAGATAAAATTTTGGGGTACTTTAAAATTTTCGAAAATAATATTCTACCCCTAAATACAATATTTCAGATTCCTTTTGCTGTTGTCATCCTCATATAAAGACACCTCTAGTTTTTGTTTTGCTTATTGCTCAAACTACTATCAGAGAGAAATGGAATGTACAAAACCCTTCAACCACATGTATTAGTAAATATGTTGTCTCTAACAACAATAGCATTAAATGACAAAGTTTAAAATAAAATATAGGAACTTTACATGCTGCATTCAGCAATTGATACAGGGTTAAGTCACATGTCAAGCTCAAATGAAATCATTCCACAAAATCTAGACAACTTCAAAGCAGTTTAGCTTTTTAAAAATTCCCAATGAAACTGACCGATACATTTTTGTATCTCCCATCCATTGTACCCGTTTAAGTAACTTTTAGATAATACTGATCCATCATTACAGATATTTTTTAAAGTATCCAACACCTAAAAAACAAATAACTTTTTTGGCCTTGAACTGAGCTCTGTATCCTGCCCCTCCCTCTTTTGTTTATAGACAAGACAGGAAAGAGAAAAGATTGTTTATGATGAAGAATCTTTTTATGAAAACAAATCATCCAGCACACCAGATTGCTATGTTGCCATTCCCAGTACTAAAAGTAATATGTGTTATTTTGTGGGTCAGACAGGCTAATCACTCTTATTGACAGCCAAGTGACAGATACATGTATCATTCACCATATAACAAGAAATTATAGATATATTTCATACCAATTTGATGTAAAAATTCATTGCAAACATTATGTAGATGTCGAGATAAATTGTGTATGTGAAATATACATTTTTAGGCCACACAAAATACCTCCTAACGTAAAAAGGTGATAATTAAATTGTGTATCTTGGATGTGTCTAAAACTGTTATTTTTTCAAATAAAAAAATCTTGAGTTGACCTGTGAAGATTGGAAAATTTATTTGTCAATTTCATTTGGCTTTATATAATCAAAATTCTTTTGAATTGGTATTGAAATTTTTATACATTTTTAAGTACACCTACTTGTATAGTTTTAACACTTATTCAGATAGTACAAATGTAGCTGTTGTATGTCTACGATTAGATGTTGCTAAGATGAGAGTTAATGGCCATTAGTCAAAGAATGATTGTATATAAGTTCTTTAAATTTTCTGAAAGACTTTTTTTGTCTCTCCCCAACAAACAATAGTTATGGCCTTTACTATTGCCACTTGAAACAGTTGACAAAGGAAGTGCATTAGTGTATATAACATAGAAAAGTAACATTGTTACATGTAGGAAATGGGACAAGAAGAGGAGGTGAATCAGAGTAGTCTGTGTATTGAACTATTTATAGTGATCATTTCTAGATGATAACTGAAAGCAAAACTTTGCAGAAATGAGCAAGAGATAATAATCTCTGCTTAGAAGTAATTATCACTGATAAAGTTTTTCTGTGTATTTGTTTTGGAGCAACTTAAGATATTACTATGGTCACTTGGGTACGATCCTGAAGGTTTTTCTGTGTATTTCTTTTGGAGCAACTTTAGATATTACTATGATCACTTGGGTACGATCCTGAAGGTTTTTCTGTGTATTTTTTTAGGAGTATCTTTAGAAATTACTTTGGTCATTTGGGTCAACGACCCTGAAGACTTTGGATGTAGGATTAGTAACTGTTCTTCAACATTGAAAAACTTTAAAAAAGAATTTGTACAGGCTGTGAATGTGCACTGTCTTGTTGGATATAAATATAAAATTTTTGATGTCGTGTGTGTAAAATTAAGAAAAAAATAGTGATTCAAAGATGAATATAGCCAGCATCATTCGTCTGTTCTAATGTTCTAAATAAAAACTTATCTGAATAAATAACCAGGGAAATTGATGGAAATTTCATCCTTGCTATTGATGAATTGATTTTAAATTTGACAAACAAAAGAATAAAAGAGCTGTCAATTTTTCTTCTGACAAAGGAACTCTTAAATCTTAGAAATTCGAGACCTATTGAAAATATCTGACAGATGACTTGAGAAAAAGAAACCTCAGAAAATTGAGACCTTAGGAATAATTGTATGACTAATGTAGCAGTGTTTACCAATATTTTCTAGGGAATATTGCAAATAACTAATTATGACTAATAGTTGTCAGTTATTACAAACCACTATCAAGTATCGATGAGTTTATTCTTTATTTCGGTCAGAGACACTTTGAAGTACTGAAGATTCTATATAATTTTATTATTTTTGGTTTGTTTGAAATGTATGTTAGCAGAACGAGTATTGGAAGTGAATCATCCAACTTATTAAGTGATATGGCATAATGATTTAGATTTTTCTGTGCAAATGGATATCCAAATAGTCTTGATCAATAATTGGATCCTTCTTGGGATGGATGAATTTTTGTGACTGGAATATCAACCACTGAAATATGCATACTTTCACTAAAAAAGGGAAATTTAATACCTTAGATAGAAAGAAGAAAAAAGAAATAAAGGTAGGATTTTGATAACTCTCTTGATCTTATCAGTGAAACAGTTTGGAGAATCCTGAGGCTATGGTAGTAAGTCTAAAAGGGGGTGTGGTTTGTAAAGATGAAATAGAGTTTTTCACTTTGAATGAATTAACAGTTTCATCTCTTAAGAGGATGAAGATCTTTGTTGAGTGATTTAGTGCATATCAATAAAGATAAACAAAACAAGGGAGCATGAAGTTAAGATATGCTATTTTTAGCAGTTTAAGATATATAAATAAACAAATAGGGAGATAAAAGTGTTTTTTGTCAAGGTAAATAACAGACCAGAGACTCTTTTTACAAAAATCTCACGATTAAAATTGATGGTATTAATTATACTGAATGTTAATGAATGAAAGTTATTTTTTCGTAGGATTATTTTGTGAAAAGAATAAGAGGGACCAAACTAGTTGTGAATTTGATCCTTGTTATGATAGAATTTCATGTCAATCTGGTAATGGTCCATTATGATAAAACTTGGTGGATTCATTTTATTTTTTGTGGCATGTAGTTTTGGATATTTGGTTTTGTTGTTTTGTCATACAAGCCTAAAGTTAACTTGTATACTGTTAATCACTAGAAATTGTGTTTCATCTATACTTTGACAACACCGAACTAATTTGTTTCATATAGCTGAAGCTTGACCAAAACTATAGCATTGAAAGAATGATTAATCAAAGTTGGGAAGATGTTTACTTTTTAAGATCCTGGTTAACTTGCATAAATAATTCTAAATATTTTGCCATTGGGAAGAGAGAAAAAGTATGACAAATTCTGTCCAGCAATATACATGTCATAGTAAAAAATTACTGGTTAATGGACCACTTGTAAAAGTTGTACCATGGTATGCCTGGTACTAAGTAATTCAGTCATCATGGTCATATTGATAGTAGTTTTGTCTCAAATGTATCCCAGCATGGTTTTGGTTAACCAAAGATTTTTATCAGGAGGAATGCAATGTTATGTTGGTTTTTAATTTGTATGGAAAAGAGTATAAAAAAAAAGGAATTTCGGAACTTAATTATTTTTATCTGTCTTGAAGATTTGCATTAAGGAATTTGATATTTCAGAATCTAAATGCATTCTGGGTAATGCATTCTTCAAAACATGAATGGTTGAAAAATGATGTAAACAATGGATTTTCAATCAATTTTGGTGTATAAATAATGAGATTACCAATTATCCTTTTAAATTTTAAAAGGTGAAAGTATTACGGATCCCTCTCCTTATTTCTATTACCTCTTGCCTCATTTTAAGTAAAGCTTAATATGAATTTATTTCATTGTTTTAAATAAGAAAATTAAATAAATTTCATGTGTTGGTAAGGTTAAGGGGAGGTCTAATTTGTTATCAGAGATGTTTTAAGTGTTATAATGATGTTGCTGATCACATTAAGAAAGGGATATTATGCTTGTAGATACCACAGATTATCAAAATCAAATCAAATCAAATCAAATATTTATTATTCCAATCATGGTCCCACAGGGGGCATTTACAATTAACAATTATGATAGTAGAAGCAACAAACATGAGACATTGTACAGTATATAACGTGACAGATATTATAATAGACAATGAAAATAGTATTAATAACAAAAATACATTAAAAGTACTCTTGAGTATATTTTTTTTTCCTTCCTTCCTTATGTCCAGCAGTGTAAAAAAAATTAAAAAAAAAGTATTAATAATAAAGTTTGATCAACCTTAAATTATTATCTATAAAGATGGAAATTTGTTCATCTGCAGGAGATTATCATTATGTCACTAGCAGCTGTAAACAATGGAAATGCTGAGTCAGATCTGACAAGAATTTGATTAGCATGTCAAATTGTTTTATGTCTCAGAGGCTCACAAAGGGGACTGATTTTGTTTAATGATGTTTCAGGGGATTCAGAAGGAAAATTGAATATGAGTAATAGCTTTTCAAAAAAGCTTGCTCTTTCTTAGCAATTTATACAATTAGCTTACATTTAGATGGTTTCACTTTTTTTTTTTTTGGCAGTTAGGTTGGATTCATGGCATTCATTTTTATGCACTATTCATTTTGAACCTTAATAATTACATTGCATGTATGTTTCATGAGAATCCAGAGTCCATTAGTTTGATTCGCTTACAACAATCGCGCATCATTAAAAAATTAACCTTCAAAATGAAATGTTACATTCGTGATGACACGTGCTTCCACAAAAAAATGCACAAGTAAATAAAAGAAAAAACTTGATAAAACTTTTTTACACGGTCTTAGCATAAAAATGTAATTATAAGAAATGAATGTTTCTTTTAGTAATTTTATAGGGTTGTAAAAGTGTTGATAGTGCACACATTTTTAGAATGAAGCACTTCCACATAAGGATCTTGAAAACTTGAACATATAAACATGTTATAATTGAGAAAAAGCTACATGATTGATAAACGTTCAAAATAATGACAGATATTAAAAAATGAAATCTTTTTTTAGTTTTAATTCTGTAATATATAAAATGAAATTTTTTAATTTAGGTCATTTTTTTCATGAGAAATATTGTACAATGTTTTTGTCTTCACAGTTACCATACTGTTTTGAATATTCAGAATAGTTTTCTCTTTTTAGATGAATTGATTTTTTTTTTGAATTTATTGAGGTCAGTTGTGAATAAGATGTGACTTCAAATCTGATGTAATTTTGTTTTACACTTTAGTTAAAACAAAGATTGGTCTTAAATGTACATGAGTTATGGGTTTTGGCAATAAAGATGAAGTCTGACAACAAAACTCTTTTTCTTTTCCAATATTTCATTTTTCAGGCAGTTTGTACTAGGCCCAAAGAAAATGTCTGCTTAAGGTTACATCATTGAAAAAATTCTGTTAATTTTTACATCGGATGTGACCTTGATAGGTCATACTGGTGTTATGTTGCTGCAGAAATTTCTTGCGCTTTTGACTGATAACCGAACGTATTTCGTATAAATACGCGGATATTAACAGCCACACAAGTCCTGAATTACAAGTATAATAAAACATATGAAAAATTTTCCCCTAACTTTTTCTGTATAAAATTAACAACTAAATCCTTGTTCATGGACACATATCAAGATTAAAACATCAATTGACTTCCTCCTGACGTAAACTAATTGTAATCAACTGGTGATTCAGGACCTTTAGTGTGTGGCTGTTTAATACTCCATTGTAATTTAAGCTGTCATTGTCAATTCATATTTCCTTAATCATTGTTAATAAAGCAGTTGAAAAATTGCAGTCTGAATAATTGTTGACTCACTGCAATGTAGATGCAGGAATGTATCAATTTGATGAAAATTTTTGATTAAAATTGTGATATGAAAGAAAAAGTTGTCATCACTGCTACAATATATATATGTTTCAGGTTACTTCACGACATTCCTCCCCAGTAAAATATACTAGACATTCAATCTTTATAAAGGTAGGCCAAAATGTATAAACTCTGCTTCATCTGGTCATTATCCAAAATATAGGAGAAAACTGAGTGAAGTGAATAATTCTTTCCTCAGAATATCTTAATTTGTCTGATACTACATGTATTTTGCATGTTACATGTATCCTGTTCAATCCATCAAATTGCCGTAAAATTTTGGTTTCAAACATTCTTTGCCAGTTTCTGTAGTTCTGTGTTTGTGAAGAAAACAATTATATGATTATATAGAAAGCTTTTGTTTACATTCTTCTTCTTTCTCTCTATTATTCAAGAAAACTATGAGTAAAATTCTAGAAAGCTTTTATTTACATTTTTCTTCATTCTCTCTATTATTCAAGAAAACTATGAGTAAAATTCTAGAAAGCTTTTATTTACATTTTTCTTCTTTCTCTCTATTATTCAAGAAAACTTTGAGTGCATAGGGGAATTGTACAGAATTTAACAGATGCCCCAAAAAATCCATGTATGACGGAGTCACATATTCTTAACTTTGCAAGGGTGGGTGGGGGGGGGGGGGGTAATTTATATTCATTCACTCTTAAATGAAAAGAAGGGATATGGTTTATTGATTCATGTTCAGACACTGTAAAAAGGTCAAGGTACTTTGCTGTTTATTGTTGTGCATCAGCTAAAGATCACAGAGGCTTTCAAGATAGAACAAAAGCTCACCTCTCTATCTCACTACAAATTCTTTTTCAGGCTATCAAGTCATAGTGTGATTTTCCTTTATATAAACAATATTTCCTGAAGACCATATGTAGTTTATGCATGTCTATCAAATATTATAAGTATAAATATCTTAAACGATATACAAGAAGGAAACATTTTTTATACAATATTATTATTTCATAAAATTTATTCTGAAAAGGATGTAATCACAGATTGCTTTGATCCGTCCCATAACAGTCCTCTGAGGTCAGTACAATCTAGGACCAGAGATGATGCAGGAAAAAATGTGAAAGAGTAATTATAAAAAGAAGATGTGGTATGTTTGCCAATGAGACAACTCTCCACAAGAGACCAAATGACACCGAAATTAACAACTATAGGTCACTGTACGGCCTTCAACAATGAGCAAAGCCCATACAGCACAGTCAGCTATAAAAGGCCCCGAAATGACAATGTAAAACAATTCAAACGAGAAAACTAACGACCTAATTTATGTACAAAAAATGAACGAAAAACAAATATGTAACACATAAACAAATGTCAATCACTGAATTACAGGCTCCTGACTTTGGACAGGCACATACATAGAGAATGTGGCAGGGTTAAATATGTTAGCGGGATCCCAACCCTCCCCCTAACCTGGGACAGCGGTGTAACAGTACAACATAACATAAGAACGAACTATAAAAATCAGTTGAAAAAGGCTTTACTCATCAGATGGATACAAATACAAATACTACAAATACAAGTGGACGTGGCCGGGTACTTGTACATCCAAACAACAAAAAGACACTAAGTACAGAATTAGTTCTTTATATGAATTTAATTTAGTTTTCAGTCAAAAGATTTGTAATTCCCAAGGAAACTATATATATGTTGTCAATTAATGTAATAATGTGTCAGTAAAGTCAGTTTTTTTTGTGGAAAATTTATTTTAAAAGAAATAGTCCACCCCTGACCTTGTGCTGTTGATATGTGTAGTCAAGTCTGTAAAGCCCATCAACACCAAATCCAGTGAATAATGAGAAAAGTTTTCAAAAATGTAGGATGTATATGGTGCCAAGGACATACTCAAACTTCTGTGAAATGTTCATTCCAAGAAATGTATAGGAATTATGACCTATATATAGCTACAATATGTAGATTAAAAAAATCAGGATTCATTCATAGATTTCATGCTTTTATAACATTGTTGTGATTGGTTGTTAATATTAAACAAATTTCTTGGTTACAAAGATTTTATTGATATAAAATCCAAAATATGGATTGTCATCAACACACAAACAAAGAACAAACATTAATCATTACAATCAATTATATAACAATACAGAACATAAAAAAAGAAAAGAAAAAAGAGGTATATATATATATATATATATATATATATATATATATATATATAATGAGTATTTTTATTTTTCCCTTCTATCTATTTGACTCAGAGGAGGTACAGTTTAAGATACTAGTAATACAATTTATATAATATAAACATAAAATAACTTAAGGTAGTGAACGTCTGAACGTGTACATCTCATTAATACCTTTAATGCAACATTTACTGACATCATAATCATTACTTCGAAATATGAAATAGAATTTTTCAATGTCTGAAAGATTATTGAAAGATGTTAGAATATCAGAAATATTCTGAAAAAATTTATTCCTCAAATCACATGATGCTTCAATTTTCCGAAACAAAGACCACACTAATGTGAAGAACGAGGTATGAAGATTTCAAAATGCATAATTAATATAAAGTAGTATCAATATTTGGAGTTATATTTCAGGGATCTTCACGACTCTCCTCCCCACTTAAGCAAATTAAACCTGATAGACAATCAGTATTTGTAAAGGTAGGTCACTCACTCACATATAACTGCTGTATACTGCTTCTCTCTTTTAGTGGCTAACAATTCATCAAGGTTTGTCAGCTTAGATTACCTTGATGGCATTTTTGAATTAAGGTAATGGAAAAAGAATATATCTGTCCTTAGACAGTAGAAATATTTTGTGATGGCTTAGGAATGGTATACTTGATGGATTATGTTGTCATTCAGTCCAGAATAGCAGGTTCCAGATTTACTTAATTACATAGATATCTTAATTATATATATATATAAATCTAGAAAGACTTATTATTATACCATTTATGTATATATATATATATATACACAACTTATCCTCCTACTTGAGTGTATTCAACACCTTTCTACACTTGTGTTATGCTAGATATTTCAGATGCTCGCCCCCCCCCCCCCCCCCCCCCCCCTCCCCTTTCCCCACCCCAACCTTTGCCCTTTTAGAGCTCCATATATGGTTAATGCATAGGCTTTTTACAAATCTCACTCCTAACGTTGCTTTGGAGGGCACACACCTTCCATTTTTTTTCAAAATCCTGCATCCACATTAGGTTTTTTTAAGTCTTCTGAAACTTCTTTCACATTATGTTTGTGTGAAATAGCCCTATATTTGCATAGAATGCACAGAGTTGTAAACATATAATATAATAAATCAACGTAAGAATTTATTACCAATTTCAACCAAAATTTTTAATGTATAATACAGGTATAATGTATCTGGCAAAGATAAACTCTTATCTGTATGCATATGTAACACCTGTCAAATTCCAAATCTATCCAAATATTGCTTGTCAGAAGATACAAGGAGAGTTTGAACTACACCTGGTGGCAATAATTTACAAGTTCATGTTATGTCATGTATAGAATATAAGGTACCTTCATATCCTTTTCCAATGACACACAGTAGTTTAAAAACTGCGTTTCAAGAAATAACAACAATAAAAAGCTATTCTCCAACCTTGCTTTTCTGAACTGCAGGCCTCTCTTAGCCATAGTTTGTCAGAGCTACCAGAATTTCTTTAGTTTTGCTTCACATATTTTTGTCCAAGTAATAAGCTGTTTTGAATGAGAGCAAACTTTACAGTGTCTACCTAAATTCACTAGAGCTGTTCCTTATGCAGCATTTTTGTCTGTTTGCTTTGAGGTAAATTCCTATGTTGATTATATGTAATGTTTCAATTGCTTCTGCAAAGAGACTTGAATGTATCAATTGACATGGATATCATTTTGTTGTTATGTTCTGTTACGACTAGATTATTTAGAAATGAAAGTATGAATTGTGATATAACCGGTCTTTTAAATAAAAGTATGAATGCTGAAAATAATCCCTTCCCTCTATCAAATAATAATACTCTTTCTTACCAGGCAAATTCGAGTAAAAAAAGGGCAATATCACAAACTATTTAGATGTATTTATGTATGAATATCTATATATAGTCAGTATATTCTTTCTGTAGATACACCCTCAGATTATAGCTATAACATTTTATACTTGTACCTTAAGAAATATAGTGAGATTAAATGACAGATAATCTTAATTATGCAATGTACCAGTAAGCTTTCTTGTTCAAAATCACTTTATGTGCACATTTTTATAGTGATAAAGGATTTCAAGTACTGTAGTTAAATTAAGAATTGATCTAGCGAAAACAGACAAAATAGCTCTCTTGCAGAATACTAAAATGCAAATTTTGTTGGATTCAGTGGGAAAATCGTTAAACGAACAATCGCTGTTACGGCATCTTGATAAATGTTTGAAATGGAGAAATTGAGTACATGTTTCGTATTTGCTTAGTCGGCAGTAAAATGACTTGGAGATCAATATCAGTATTTTATTTGTGTTCTTTGTCAGAAATGGACATTTTGATATGAAATATACATGGTATTGATTCTATGAATTGAGTTTTATATCAAGTTGTTGTGGTAGAGCTTCTTTTGTTTTCCTTTAAAAGCCATTCTGGCATCAGTATTCAACATTTAATCATGTTTATGCATTGTTTAATCCATGAAACGGATCAATAAGGGGTTTCTGACTGTCATGCTGTTTCATATACATGTAGTATGTTTTGCATATATATATTATAATAAGAAAATCCGTTTTTTTAAGTACTTCTAACAGAAGCATTTAAATGAAATTGTTTAAGTTATATTTAAGAGATCTTATTCAAGATTTGCTGTAATATACATTTACATTCAACAAGGAAGATATCTTAAGAACTACACAAGTAGAATTTTGTATAATTACCTATATACGTCTAGTAAAATATATTTAACTTCAGGACATTGCATTTTCCTTACTGAGGGTGAAAAGGTACAAAAAAAGTTTCATTTCCAGCCATCTGGCTAGCTTTTACTTGTATTATTGTTTAATTGTTTTATCCTTACTGGTTCTTCCTGTTTACTTAATGATAAAGGATATATTTATACTGTTGTAATTAAATCATTGTGTATCGTTTTTTTTTTAGGATTGATTTACTGAGAGTTTGAAAAACAACTACATTTTTTATTCAATACTTTTTATTTCTTATCTGTATTAATTTGTTGTTTTTTGCTTAATGTCCAGTTACAAATATTTCATGCATATTCAGGAAGATTTTTGTTTTTCTTAATGTAAATACTGTGCACTTTTTATGTGGAAATTGCACACAAGAGTATGTTTTTCTGCACTATCAGTAGTACGTTGACAAATATAACGCTTTAAGTAGGCAGGATCACTTTTTTTTTTACAGATAACACACTTTTAGCTCAATTCAGTTACCATATCTGACCTCTTGAATGAACTCTGCTTTAGCAACGTTTGTCATTTCTGGGCCTTTTATAGCTTACTAAGTGGAATGGGTTTTGCTTATTGTTGAAGGCTATACGGTGAACTATATTCATTTCTATGTCATTTGGGTATTTTTTTAAGGATCAGTCTAGATATAGGTAGCCAGTTATATAGTTTCTTGAAAAGTCATTTACCAAAAGTTGCTACTCCGTACTATATATAAAAAGGTGATTTGGTATGATTGTCAATGAGATAACTATCCATCATAGACCAAGGTATGAGGATGTAGACAACTATAGGTCTTCAACAATGAGCAAAACCCATACAGTGGAGTAACCTATAAAATGCCTTAGTAGAACAGATAAGATAAGATATTTTATTTCCAATTATGGGCCCCAAAGGGCATAAACATTACAACATCAATAATTTATCATAATACAATACAAACAATGAGATAAAAAAAAAAAAAGTTAAACGAGAACTATTTAAGTTCTTAAAGAATACGTAGATAAAGAATCTATAGTATGTTTTTTTTTTTAATACTAATGCATTTTATTGCAAGTGTGGTTGATATAGATAACAAACAAGCAGCCCAAAAAGAAAAAAAGAAAAATAGATATCCATATATGTATAGTACACAAAAAGTTGGATCAATTAAACATAATAATTAGCCAAAAAGAAAGTAGAAATTAAGCATGTCCATGACTCATCCTGTGTCAGCAGCAAATAGGAAAGCATTATGGTTTCCTAAAGGCAGCTGACACCAGGGGGCAAAACAAATTATAAAACAATTCAAAAGAGAAAACCAACAGCATGATTTATGCTACATACAATAAACGAAAAACAAATATAGTAGATGGTTACAAACAACTATCATTGTATAACATGATCCTGACTTGTGACAGGTATATAAAGAATTGATGGCTTTAAAGACATTGTGAACACCCAACCTGGGACAGGGATGGAAGGACACAACATAAGAGTGAACAGCAAAATTAAGTTGATAAGGGCTTGACTCTTCAGATAGGCACTAAGCACAACAAATAGACAAAAAAACACTTTTGTACAGATCTAAGAATTTTGAACTCAATGATAGCTAGTTCAAAGCCATTTTCAACTCATAAATAAACCATGTTTTCCCAGACTAAAATTTCAACCAGTACACAGCTAACAGATTAGATGTAAAGACATCATAAAAGAACCTTGCATTGTTAAATATTGTTGGTGAAATCCAGGTTAAACTAGATTGTAAGAAATTTTGACATTGATTCATTGCAAAATAAAGATAAGAATATGTGGTTTAATTGCCAATCAGACAATTACCCACCAAAGACCAAAGGAAAAAGGATGTAAACACCTTCAGGTCACCATATGGCCTTCAATAATGAGCAAGGCACACTTGTGTGTTTACTTCAGGTATATTAGTAAAATATTTATTCTAAAAAAAAACAAAAAGAGAGAGAAAACTGCTCAGATAGAACTTTTATAAATATAAGATGAATTCATTTGTTATTTCAACAGCTTACAATCTGTTAAAAACTTGACTTCTTTCAAGAAAATTAAATAAAAGATGAGTGGTCTTTTTCTGTAAGTGTGATTTTCTCAAATGATAAGGAAGAAATCTAATGGAGAAGATTTGACCCACTTAAGATATGTTTGTAATGTGATGATAAGGTCCTATCATCTGTGTTGATGTTTATCTTAACATCCTCATTAATGTTTACTGGCACCTTCATGGAGAGGGTCGTATGGGGTCCTGGGAAATCTTTTTTATCTGAAAGGTCTAACGGGGATTTGAGGGAGTCTTTTTTATCTAACTGTCTTATGTGGATTACATATATACAGGCTAAACTTAAAAACATTCACTTTCTATTATTATGGTAAATGAGCTGTAAATATCACAATCAACATTGCCATGATTTTTATGTAGCTATATGCTGTATCATTATCAAAGGTCAATAGATGTACCAGGATATAGACTCATAATTTCCCAATAATTACCACACATGAAAATTCCCATTATTTTTGTTAATCTTGCCTCTGACACTAACAATAAGTTATAATAATAAGTAACTTTCATTGACATCAAGTGTGAACTTTGACCTTTATTGGTCTTATGCCAATGTTTTGTCTTACTTTGAGTCATTGTGTTACACAGGTCTTTTTGTTTCACATAGTATTGTATTTTTTTATGATCACACCTTCAAAGTAGCACTATCAAAAAGAAAAGAGCAGTGATGAAGGAATTAAGGGTATAAATACAAGATCTTCTGATTAGTACATTTAACCCAGAAAATTTGATATCACAAAGCAAATATTTTATATGTCACAATGACCCATGACATGTTTTCCTCAAATGACCCATGGTCAACTGGGGTAGTTTAATTTATAAAAAAGGAAAATGGAAACTTGTCTATTTCAGGTTTCTGTTTTGTTTGTTAAAAGAAATCCTTCCTTAAATGTTGATTTTTACGATGTCTGATGACCAATCCAATACACCACCCTTCCAGAAACTGGACATAGTAAAGCTTCGTTTAATTCCTAGTCATTCTCTCCATGCAGTGACGATTCTTTTCCACTTTTAAGTTGATTTCGGCTATCGTTAGGTTGGATTTACATACATACATACATACATGTACATTTGTATAATGTTTTCTTTTAATTTTTATTATCATTTCAGCTTTTTACATTATGTTTGCACAATCCCAGTTTATTACCAGGTTTCAAACAAAACTGAAATTGCATGCACTGTTTAGTACAGAATTTGATATGGGAGCTGTTAATACAGTTTATCCTTTTTCCTGATTTTACATACTTTTCTGATTCCAGGATGTGGACAAACTCCAGGAAGAAGTGAACAAAGTATACCGATCATTGAATTACATCAAGGCTGTTGTTGACAATGAGAAGTTACAAGTCATCCCTACAACTGCCACTGTTGTCTTGGAAACAGTCATGGATGTTTTCAATCTGCTCAGTCATTTCTTCATGACAAAGGACACGTAAGCTTAATATAAATTGGACAGTCATTTCTTCATGACAAAGGACACGTAAGCTTAATATAAATTGGACAGTCATTTCTTCATGACAAAGGACACGTAAGCTTAATATAAATTGGACAGTCATTTCTTCATGACAAAGGACACGTAAGCTTAATATAAATTGGACAGTCATTTCTTCATGACAAAGGACATGTAAGCTTAATATAAATTGGACAGTCATTTCTTCATGACAAAGGACACGTAAGCTTAATATAAATTGGACAGTCATTTCTTCATGACAAAGGACACATAAGCTTAATATAAATCGGAAATATATAATTAAAAGAGATGCCATTTCACAATGCATTACAATTACATTTTTATAATATTTGAAAAGAAAAACATGATATTTAAAAGACATGGCAATAAAAAAAATTGTCTGTATATACTAAATATAATAGTAATAAGTAATATATGTAGTTCAATCTCTAATTTTAGGTTATTATGTATCCACCCTTTGAAATGTTCAGACGATCCCTTGTTAGCATAAATTCAATATAATTGATTGCAGACACCTGAAAATTACTTACTGGCATACATTTATTGCATATTTATTCTTTTCTCAGGCCAAAAATTAAGAAATAGGTGTTTAGAATTTCCAGACAGACCCTTATTTTGAGCGCCAATGTTAATGTTTTTATGAAGATTTCTTCTAAAACTTTTCATCAACATTTAAAATTTGGTTACTGCTTACTTATTGCATCATTATATGTGACAGATTGTAAACATTGTTACTTTGTTCATTGATAAATTGCAAATAGCAGAGTTCTGGTAGCCGTTAGGAATAATACTGGAAACAGGACTCAGTGAAAACACAATATTTTTCAGATTTTGACTAGAAAAATAAATACCTACCAACTCAGAATGCTTAGGACAGAAACTTATAAACACACATGCATATTTTTTTTCTGCCTTACATAGATAATTTGTCTGAATCATATTGTTGTCTTTATTGATATTTTACTTTTCTCTCCTCAGGAACACATTACCTTCCATTCATAAGAAGGTATGTCAGTGTCTGGCTTTGTTCATCAGATGGGCAGACAAAATCCTGTTAAATGGTGGGGAGCTTCTCAATAAGGGTGAAGCTCATGAAGTTATCAAAGCTCTGACTGACGGTGTGGAGGTAAAATCATATTTATTATGTACAGGTTCTGTAAATTCTGATACTATTGCCAGGTTTTTATTATTGCGAATAATTCCACTGGGTTAGCATCGCAATAACAAAAACTCGCATTCTGAAATCTGACCTATATTTGTATGTAGCTTTTCCTGAAATGGCAATAATTATTCTCACATTTTGGTCTGTCATCTCGAAATTGCTATCATAAATGCACGCAATCATTTTTGAACTTACAGTATTCTTTTGCTCTCTCCTTCCGATTTATATCACTATCATTCTTTATTTCATATATGCCATCTCATTATCATTTTTTTCAATCCCGAATTATAAGAATGTGGAGTATGAAGTGATACAATGTTCAAATTTTATTTCTTTCATCAGATTTTTTGTAACTCAAAGGTTTGCACATTTAGGGAAATTAATTTGATTTCACTGAGGTGCAGATCTTATCTCATTCAATCATATGGTTCAGCAACATATATAAGTTTAAGATAACCTTTTTTCAGCTCTTGTTAGTAAAATATCTTCTTGGTTTATAAAATTAACTGTAGGGCTTAACATCCATGTACATGTATTATCTAAATCAGTGAACAGCACAGCTTTGAACAGTATAATCATACACTTGAGTTATAATGATGTGTCACTAATAATGCTCCTTTGAAGTAACTAAATTAGGTATGCAAATTGATATTTATAGAAATTGATTTAGTAAATTTTATGCGTTTGGCATTACGAAATTAAATTCAAATTTTCATGTAAAATAAAAACTTCTGTATTAATGACAGCAACGATTATATTTAGGAAAATATGCACTGGTATCTTTTCCATATACATGTAACATTTGTATAACGATCAAAATTTTTAATCATTGACTTTTAAAGTACATTATCTTCCTTTAGTTTTGAATTCAGGACTTTTTAACTTTGGTATTTTCTGGAACTCTTATCAAAACTCATGGAACATTTTACATATATTAGCAATACAACAAAAGATTACCATTGACAAACAAGAAAGGTTGTATCTCAACTTTTAAAGGTCTCTAAGTCTGGTACCGTCACATGTTTCAACTCTTAGCAGTTTGTAAGTTGGATTTTTCATTTCAATACTACCTTAACTTTATATTACAGGAGCTGAAACAGACCAGTATAGACAAATTAGAAGATAGAAAAAATAATGTGTCCCCGCCCAAATCTCCTGATCCATTACAAAGGAATGATGGGTAAATATTATAAAATTAAAAGTTCGAGGTCATATACTCCCCAACATTGGGAATGAACAACCACAGATACTGACATTGTTTTACCTGAAATCTTGATATTTATTTTTGAAAAAAAATTGAAACCATATAAATGATGTAAGGATATATATTGGGCAGAACATGTCAACATGAATGTTCAGGTATATGTATAATTGTAAGGTTGATTTTCCTTCATGTAGTGCATGTAGATTTTAATTTCGTCAGAATTTTTCTAAGAAAATTGTTCATCTTAAAGACTTTCATGATGATGTAATGGTTAGTATACATGTCTCAAAAGAATGCAGTTTGACCTTTAGTAGGTAAATAAAAGAGATTTGGTGTTTACATTAATGAGACATCAACCCAACGATTCAAAAACTAGTAACCTAAAGACATCAAAAGATCAACAAGAATTCTGTTGTAGAATCAGTTTACATTGAATTATACCTGACTGACATCATTTTGGATACTGGCTTGATAACAATGAGGGGAAATCTTATTAAGTAACCAATCAAAAAAGGGCTTCTTTACAGCTGATGGAAGGTCTTCATGATCAGTGATTTGAATGCTCACACATGGTAACAAGACAAGTTTTAGAAAGTTAAACCTCCTTTTCTTTATTATTTTGAATTTGCAGATAAAAATATATTGTTGATGTAATCCAAAATCATAATTAATAGAAATGTGATGAAACTTCATAAAATAATTTCAGACAAAAAAGAGCATCACTACCTGACATTCCACTAACTCCACGGGAAAAAAAGATCTTAGACGACACAAGTGGAATGGGACTTTATGACAATGCCCACCTGCATGGATCTCAGTCGTCTGACAGTATAATGCACCACAGTAGAGATCCCACAGGAGAGTTACCTCCCCCACCTAAACCACCTCTTCCAAGTGATACTGCTGCAGTTCATAGGTTTGTTCAGTTTTTTGTTGTCTCTGTTTTTATAATTGCACACAGAAAAAATATATGAAGCTATTTGTCGAATGATTAATTATGCCAAACTGCAATGTTCTTTGACCACATTTATTTTGTGTCACGAACCTATGCTGTATCAAATATTCAATCACAATCCAAATTCAGAGCTGTTTTAAGCTTAAATGTTGTGTCCATACTTGCTCAACTGTTCAGGGTTCGACTTCTGCAGGAAAATCCGGTTTGCTGTCTCTCTGATAGCCTCTTGTTTATACTTATACCAGATTCTATGTCCACGTAATATATTTTTAATGTTCTTATACAAACTTTGTATTAGTGCTATATTCAAGACTGCAGCATGTAGTCATGGAAATATGACTGTGATAGGCTAAACCATAGACAGTGTTCTTGTTTTGTCCAGTTATGTTAAGAGGTTCACAAAATTCTGATAACTTGCTCAAAAATTCTGTACAAATCATAATTTGTACACCAATCATAATTTGTACACCATAACAATTTGTGCCCAACATATACACTCAACTAATGACATCATGTGTTTTTTGCCTACAGGATTGTAAAAACAAGATCTAAATCTGCCTCAGATGATTTGGAAAATGGAAATGAGCCACCTCCTTTACCTGAGAAAGAAAAACGTCCATCACTTGTTAATAGTCAGGACTTTTTTACAAGTACACCTAATGCAAAATCAAGCCTGTCTTTGTCAGGTTATTCCACACCGTCAAACCAGTCTCCACATAACAGTTTGATAATACAAAATGATTCATTTAACAGTCTTATGGATTGTTCAAGTTCACCCTTAAGTGTATCACCACTAAGCCGATCGCCAAATAGTAGTATGAGCTCTGGGCTTAATCGCTCTTCCGAAGATTTGTTAGATAGTGCTAATTTAAGAGTTCGAACAGACAGTTTTTCTAGGGTTCATTCAGAATCAGGAATAGGTCTTATGAAGAAATTAACCACATCCCTGACCAAAAGTGCTTCACAATCTGACGGAACAATTGGTCAGGTTAACGAGTTGACGTTAAAAATCGATGAATTGACTAAAGGAATTGCTAAATTGACCAATCAGAATGGTGAAAATAATCTGCCACCATTACCGGTGAAACGATCGAAACCACAGAGACAGGCATCTATGTACGATAACGTGACAGATAGTGGAATTAATTTGAGTCGCATGGAAGCAAGGATGTCATCATCATCAACAAGCAGTTCACAGTCATTTTCTGGCTTTTCTATTTCTCAAAAGACAACTTCTGTGTCATACTCACATAGGACAAGTTCTCAAGAGACATGTTCTAGCTCTGAGGCATTCTCTAGTACAAGTCATTCAAGTATAGACAGCCTGCCAAAGCCTCCACCTCTTCCTCCAAAGAAAAAACACAGTAAGTTGTTTTCTGACAGTATAGATGTTTTGGTTATTTAGTTTTTGTATTGATTTCATGAAAAGCTCTCATTATCATCTTTAGAATTATAACAGTATTTAATTCCAAATGATTTCTGCTGTACATGAATGTGGCTGGGGATATAGATTTATTCTTCTCTGTTAATATATTTGTCCTAGTTTGGCATAAGGAATAAAAGTAATATGATATGAATGACCAAGAAAGCTATCTACCAAAGACCCCAAATGTTATAATGAATATCTTTACATCTTCAGCTCAATGAACAGTCTTCAACACGCTTAAACTGTAAAGTTATTTTCAGAAATTCGTTGTGATTTATTATATTTCTTTTCATCTATATTATTCTGCTGAGGACATCAGAAAACATGAGTGACATCTTTGTTACTTTTCAAAAGATTTGACCAGACAAACTAATATTAAAATCTGAGTTGAAATATAAAACTGAACCTTTGTGGTAAATTTTTTTTTTTAATGAATGTGTTGTTTAGTCATCTCTTATTATTGGGACGACATACATTCATGACATTTGTGTTTATCTTTATGTGTTGTCCTTTAAAGAAAAAAAATAAGAATACAACATTTATTGATTTGTTCATTCGTTCATGATTGAGCAAAATCCACATGTCAGAGTACACCTGTACATTTACATTTTCTATTTAAACTCTACAATTTGTGTAGATTCTTGTGCACATCAGGAAATCGCAAAAATTAAGTGCATTGATTTACACCTATCTTTAAATTGCACAACACTGTTTTGCTGTAGGAGATCTTACACAAGGGATATGCTGATGCTGTTGCTATGGTAATCATATCTTTGTCTATTTCAGTACAAGAATACATGAGGACATTTGGATCTTACTCCCAACCGTCAGCAACAATATCAGATTGTATATATTCAAGGCATTCTATGAACTTTTACGAGTCACAATGGCATGAAACACAGATAGAGATACAAAGTCCCTACCCACGGTCAAATACAATAAGTTTGTTATCCGATTTAAGTTCTGATTCATCCATTTCCGGTAGCGGTTTAGCAATACCTCCACTTCCAACTAAAAGAAAGGTAATTATGATATGGTGTGTTTCTGTTGTAATGGAATAGTATCATATTTAAACTATTTTTCAAATGTTTCATTTATTTGATCAACATAAATTAAGAGAGATAAAAAAACTTTTATCCCCTATTTCTTATTTAACGGTGGAAACATTATTCCAAAACATGACTAAATTGTTTATAATAAATCAATAAGACAAAATACATTGCTTGCTAGAATGAAGATTTTTTTTTTACCCTATTTATTTTAAACAAAAGGGTAGTATGAAGTGGGTCTATAATTTATATGAACCAATACTTCATGATAATAAACAGGGATAAAAAGCAGCTCTAGCTTTAATAGATCTTCATTGCTCCAAAGCAGTATTCCCAACATTAAACCAGCAGTTCTTATAGCAAGGGAAATAACTCCAAGAAATTACATAAGAGTCACATTCATAGTTCCTAAAACAGTTTTGGGAAAGGCATATAGTAGAATGTATATGATACTTTGATACATAATAAAATTGAGAATGGAAATGGGGAATGTGTCAAAGAGACAACAACCCGACCAAAGAACAGACAACAGCAGAAGGTCACCAACAGGTCTTCAATGCAGCGAGAAATTCCCGCACCCGGAGGCGTCCTTCAGCTGGCCCCTAAACAAATATATATACTAGTGATAATGAACGCCATACTAAACTCCAAATTATACACAAGAAACTAAAATTAAAAATAATACAAGACTAACAAAGGCTAGAGGCTCCTGACTTGGGACAGGCGCAAAAATGCGGCGGTGTTAAACATGTTTATGAGATCTCAACCCTCCCCCTATACCTCTAGCCAATGTAGAAAAGTAAACGCATAACAATACGCACATTAAAATTCAGTTCAAGAGAAGTCCGAGTCTGATGTCAGAAGATGTAACCAAAGAAAATAAACAAAATGACAATAATACATAAATAACAACAGACTACTAGCAGTTAACTGACATGCCAGCTCCAGACTTCAATTAAACTGATTGAAAGATTATGTCTTCATCATATGAATATCAGGCACAATCCTAAACCTTTTTATTGGTATTGAAGTATGGTAGAGATTTTTATATTTTTCAAATGTCTAACTTGTTCTGCTGAATTTATGTGATAAAAAATATCTGCCACATATATGCACAAATATAAAACATTTATATAAGTTTTTCTGACGAAAACAATCTTCAAATGACCTTAATGTTTGTTAAAATTCAATAATTTATCAACCAGATGTTGAAGAAAACATTCTTTTATATATTTTTTTTAATTTCTCTGCCTTTCCAGTATAGTGAAAATAGAGATTCAATGTCTTCCATTCAGTCTGATACATCTTTAGAATATCCAAGAGAAAAGGCAGCAAGTATGGTAGAGGGACCAACACAGGGAGCTACTGGTGACATGTAAGTATAAGGTACAAATAGGGGGAATATGTTTAGGGAGGAGAGGACAGCATTTGGTTCTAATAGACGTTATATAGTAAGTAGACAAAAATACAAAATTGAGTGACAAGATTTGGGTAATTTATTGAATTAGAGCAAATATGAAGATCTTCTGGTGTTATATTGAGTACATTTGTTTTTGTCGAGCAGTCTGATGTTTTAAAAAAAAGAGACCAGAGGTAGAGGGAGAATCAAAACTCAGAAATTGAAGAGAAAATCCTGACAAAAATAGAAAAATGGTGAAAAGACAAACAACAGTTTACAAAACACTACATAAAAAACAAAAAGACTGAGCAACACCAAAACATCTGGAGTGAAATAAAAAACAAAAAGACTGAGACCCACCAAAAATCTGGAGTGAAATAAAAAACAAAAAGACTGAGACCCACCAAAACATCTGGAGTGAAATAAAAAACAAAAAGACTGAGACCCACCAAAAATCTGGAGTGAAATAAAAAACAAAAAGACTGAGACCCACCAAAAATCTGGAGTGAAATAAAAAACAAAAAGACTGAGACCCACCAAAAATCTGGAGTGAAATAAAAAAAACAGGGGTGATAAATATAGGATATTGATCAAGGTGATAGGGTAGAGGTGGTATCATATTATTAATGAGAGGAGAGATGTCAATGAAACAGCTACCAAATATTACACAAACCATAATTTGATAAAAGAGGCTTGGAGCTCATTATTAAGTCGTCAACAAGTGTCTAATACTGATTAGGGATACATGAAAGAGTGGTTAATATTGATATAATCTAATGTTACATTTAAAGTATCAGTAATGGATTATATATAAGATGAAGGAGACATAAAAAACTGCCATAGAAATTTTTCACCAAACTTTTTACTGTAGCAATGAACACAAATATGAAAATTTAATAGTCTTTTAATGACCAATTCTGTTTTTTAGAGAGTTGAAAAGGTCATCATGTCCACCAGGTCATTTGAAGGACAAAATGGAGGCAACATTAAGTAGTTTACATAAACCAGAAATGCCGAGAGATGCAGACTCTGACTTTGCTGAGATAAATCCTTTAGATGATATAGATGTCTCTGACCAGCTCGTTAGGAAAAAAGATGTAATGAAATAGATTTAACTTACTGTGAATTAATTTATATTCGTTGGTACCAATTTTTGTGGATTGAGGAAAAATTGTATTTTAAATGGATATTTGATTTCGGGATTTTGGAGTAGTTTGTTTACAAGTCTATAGAAATTTATACTTTGTTGAACTTTTAAATTCAGAGTTTCTCTATACCCACGAAATAATGAAAAAAAACTTTGTACATAATAAGGACGTACTATGTAGATGTGCATATCGACAGGAAATTATGATTCAATTTTTTTTCTAGGAGTTATGCCCCTTTGAACTTATTGGCCTCTATATACTACAGTCCATCAGTCCTGTTCTTGTCATCGCAACTCCTCTGAAACCACACAACAGAATTTCATGAAACTTTGTAGATAATAAGGACTTAATATATAAATGTGCATATCCACAAGAAATTTTTATCAATTGACTTTTGTAGGAATTATGAGTCTGTGACACTTAGGCATCTCGTGAGATTTTGTTTGCTCAGTGTCAATATGGGGGCGTGGGGTATGTGAGCATGCTCACAAAGGTTCTTTAATTATAGATCTTTTTATGGATGTAAGCTAGAATTTCCTAAAAAAAAATATACATATTTCAAAAATTTCTAGTTTACAATGATGTCTTATGAAATTGATGGGAAGAACATTATCGTATTAAAATGTTTTTGTATAAATTTATTTCATTGAAAGGAATTTCAAGTCTATTTTAATGATACCAGTTGTAATGATGTAAAGCTAAAGTTAGTATGATTAGTAGTGAATAAATGTCTAACTGAAGTAAAACCTAAAGTCTTTTCTCCTGTGCTCTTGTTCATTTTTCTATGCCTTCGTATTAAAGTCAAATATGTGTCTATCTATTATAGTCTGAAGACGGACCAGAGATAAGAGGTGGTTCAGTCGATGCTATGATCGTACATGCCTCTGCAGTAAATAGAAATGGTATGTTTATCTTTTGGAGAATAATCCCGCGTTTACTTACAAGCAGGGATTTTCAGAAAATTCTATATGTATAAAACAATTTTGAGTTTTGACCCTAATTTCAAAATGTGTTTTTTGTTGTGACGAAAAAAATCAACAGGAAAAGGTTTTTTATATCCTGCAATGGGGACAAACTCGAAATTTATGTATTGAAATGACATAAAATGAGAAATCAAAATATAAATATATGTGAACGTCTCTGCAGTTTCTAAAGAAGGTGTATAATATGAATACTTGTTATGAGCTTGTGATTTTGGAGGTTTGCAAATGCTTGAATGTTCAAGTTCATATTATATTAGTAAATATTAAGTAGAAAAATGAAAAATTGTAAATATTGGTGGAGGTTTTGAATGTTTTCAATTATATATATATGATAATGTTGGAATGAATTACATACCCAATGTATATGTGTAGATATCATATAATGTCCTTTTGTAATGAACCTTAGAAAAGTCAGATATATTTTTCTGTTTATGTTGATCCTGCCACATTTTACCTGGAGATATTAGTGGTGTGGGTAGTGTTTCATCCTCTGTACGCATAAGTTTGCCTTCCTTTGCTAGTCACCATTTTTAGTGCAGAGTGCCATTCATTTCTAGAAAAGACCCCTATTTTTTTTAAAGGTTTTTCTTTGGTGTATATTAATTTTCTTGGTGTATTTTGATTCCGGCATGGAATCAACCCTGTTTTTACCTTCCTTCCTTACTTCTTGACCTTAAATAATTGAACTGTTGACCCCATAAATTTATATAAAATTTAATGGAATATCTAAATGCTAGAATACACTTCAGAGTTCTTAACATGTTCTTTACAGAGATCCTTTTATAGTTTATCTTTCATTCTCCTTTTTCAAGTCTGTGTTTTTTTGTAATTGCTAGAAGCATTTTGGTGACCTTTAGAAGGGTATATATTCACTTTCTTATGCGTTAAGTGAATATTTGTCTTATTGGTATTTATACCACATCTCATTTTTTTTTTGTATTGTATATTTCAGAAAAGATTGATAAAATAAATATGTGAATTTGAACAATATAAGTCATAAATTCCTGCAAAGGCTATTCATTAAAAAATGTAAATGATTGAAAGTTTTAAAATTTGCACATTTGCACTGTTGATTAATGCAAAGGCATAAATTTTCACTAAAGTATACAAAGACTTCTTTCAGACCTCATACATTTAATGTGTATGTAAGGCCTAAGTTATATTGATTTTTCATTGTCAAAAACCCATCAATTGATTTAATGATTTTTCTGCTAGCCATATTTTACTGCAAGTAATATATTTATGATCTTACAATTACAACATCTTTGAATTTTTAAAAAGGGTCTGAAAGTGAATCTGTTAATCAAGAGGGTAAGTTAACCTTTAGAGTGACCTTTTTCAATGACCAATCACAGATGAGTATTATTGTTGTGAAACAAAACAGTCACTATGACTGTGTCTCTGTTGTGACTGTTGTCTGAAATGGCTCACATTACTTATTATAAAATGACTGTCATGCTGTCCAAAATTGTCCTGTAACCAATTCTCCATTTTCTATCAAATACAATTTGCTTAAGCTTTGCTGAATTGCTTGCCTATTTATTCCTGCAGTCCTTCCTCCTAAGTTTGCCTAAGAACAAACAGTATTGCTGAGCCATTTCAATGTTTAGTGCATGCTAGTATAAGACTTATGTTTTCTGTACCATTTATATCGATTTATTAACTGTGAACCAGCATTAGCAAAACCCTCAGTGAAATGTTACTGTGTTCTCCTGTATGTATATAAACATCATTTGTCACATACTAAAACAAAAGTACTGATTTTCTTCCGACAAACAAGTCACAAGTTTGTTCACTTATTGTCTTTAAAAATCCTCAATTTGAAGATTACAGAATTTTAGGACCACTTTGTTATTAGATCCATGGGCAAAAGGCCATTCTTTTATTTCTGTGGTATTTATAATTCTGTACCTTGAACTTTTGATTTATTTCATTAAATGAATGATAAATTCTTCTAGCATCCTAGAATCTCTCAATTTACACTGATACAAAAAGTTGATATCAGTTCTCTGACTGGCCTCAGCTGATATCATGTAGTATTTCTACAGAGTCTCACAGATGTGCAGAATTAAGCCAAAGCAGCAATGCTATTTAGATATTACAAAGCGCATTTACTGTTAAATGATGCTGCATTGATATAAGCATTGATATATTTTGATTTTTTTAAAGCTTTAATAATAAAACTGAAAAAAATTCTCAAATGCTTGTTAGTATAGTCTGATTTCTCTAAAATTACGATTTTCATGTCTGTTTTTAGCAGTCTGTCAAATTTTACAAAGTGAAAAGCATTATCCCACGAAAGTAGGATATTTCTTGTCTTTCCTTACCTTTAGTTACTGCTAATTAGAAATGCTGAAAAAAAAGTATGGTTGATAAAAAAAAATGTTGTCTTCTGAGAAAAGGTTCTAAGATCTGAAGGTAATGAAATGACCCCCAAACATTGAATACATTTCCTAAACAATAAATAATATAGGCTATTTTCACATTTGTGACATAATTTAGTTATGATTTAGGAGTTATTTTCCTTTTTATAACACTGTTTCTAGCTCTGTGGAGAATACATGTGTACATAATTTACATATAATCTATAGAAAAATGATTATTTGTGACTTATATACATAATTCATGTAATACCTATAGAATTTGCATCGGGTTGTCTACTTTCTCTTTATAAGAGAAACAGCTCTAGTTTGCTTCTTGTCTAAGGGGAAAAACTCTTAAAATACAGCCATAATTTGAAATGAAGTATTTAAAATAAAGGGATAATATTTTTTTGCATGCAATATTTATCATTATAGATGTATACGTATATGTATTGATTGAAGGGTATTAGGTGTTTGCATGGAGTAGATAGTCAGCTGGTATTGTTTAGCAAAAGCTCAATTATAAAGAAATGATATTCTATTGAGTTTCCTTTTATCTTATCATTTATTTTCATAAACATTGAGGAAAATAAAAGATACAAATCATGTCATGAAATTGTTCAAATACTTTACTGTCAATTTTTTTCATCAATCCTCCTTAACTCAGTTACTTTTTTTTTTGGTAAAAATATTTTGTATATCTTTTGAAAATACATTAAATTGCTACATAATAGTTATATTCATCAAAAGAAGTGTTTTATATATATACCATAAGCATATATAAGTTATCCTAAAAAAAACTATTTTCTCTACAGATTTCCTATTTCAAGAAGCGTTTCTGACAACGTACAGAACATTCATCACTCCTACCGAGTTAATGGACAAGTTACTATACAGATTTCAGAAGTTCCATCATGCTCCAGATAAAAAGAAGAAAGTGGCGGGTAATGGCTTTGCCTTGTTGATACGGATCATTGATGAAGTCAGGTATATACTGTTACCAAATAAGGCAGATGATTTCATTTTATGTCTACTTTAAATTGATAATTTCATCAGTCACCTAATGTTCTGTCAATGCCTTATTTGAATAAAAGGAGATTGGGATATACTTAAATGAGACAGGAACCCAACATCACAAGCAACCAAAAGGCATTAAGAAGTCAACATACAGTTTTCAACAACAGACAGGTGTCTATATGTAATAAGTCAAGCTTGAAATCGTCCTGATGATAAGATATTGAAAATATCCCCTCACTTAAATTTGATCTACATTCATGGTCAGGAAAATTGCTAAAAAATATCACCGGTTTTACTCTAGAAATTGTGAATTCTGCATTCAGCAGTATTTCATAGTCTTAGCTACCATTGCAAAAAATCAGACTGAATGAACAAAAAATACTTGTCTAGAGTTCTCCTTCTGGCTGTAATGTTCATGCCTGAAAATGCCAAAAGTTTTTATTGCCAATTTTTAGGTATTAATCATGACAAAATTGCAGGAATCCCCATACTGCTAAAGTCAATGTAAATAAAATAGTTAAAAAGAAATGAAATTCTACCTACCAACTGTATTTTCTATAGGAGAAAATCCTTAACATACATAAATGGTCTTACCTTGCTTAAAATCTTTGTCTGAAGTAAAGACTTCTCACTAGTTAGTTAGCCAACCACATATGGTTGTGAAAGTTTTAGGCAAATGCATCTTCATGTATTGCACATTTTTATCTTTATTCTTTAAAAAACATTTTCTTGACACAAATTTTTTCATTGGAATGTATATAAAAAAAACAAAAATCTTGAATCAGACACATTAAAATGATCCATCCTTACCATGCAGGTGAAATAGTACAGATCTTCTTCACACATAAAGATTGATAAATGTTGATTTTTCTTATTCAGGGCCAATGAATTAGCTGAAAACACAACCAAAAAGATAATGGATTTAGTTTTTGAACTGTTATGTCAAGGTGACTTGATGTTGGCAAAAATTCTACGTAAAAAGATAATAGAAAAGTGTGAAAGTAAACAGACAACTGCTGATATTTTTCCTTCCATGACAATTATGTCGTCTATATCATTACAAACTAGGTGAGATATTTTAAATTAGGAATTTATCTATTATTTCTTTCAAGAGGGTTTTATCTTACAGTCACTGACGTTATTGATAATTCTTTGGATTTTATGTCAAATTAGCTAGAATTGTTACTGCTAGGAGGACCTATTATACATAGTATTTTCTTCTGTTTTTCATCATTTCATAAAAAAAACAATTTGATTAAACGGAAATAATGGCATATGACAATGAGACAAAACAAAACAAAACAAAAAACCAAAATACATCAGTCAACATACAATATTCAAAAATAGACAAGTGTCTATACAATATGCCAAGCTGTTAACCTGAAAGAATCCAGCAAAGTTGTAAATAAATTTAATAGTCTATCAGAGATCTGCTATCAATACTGAATTTCTCATATGACAAAACACCTTTAAGGTATCACTTCTATAAATAAAAAGAACCACTATCGAAGGCTTCTGAATTTTGACTGACAGATGATGATGTGGCAGAGTTCAACTATTTTGAAACTCATTTATTTTTATTTCATTGTCAAAATATTCAATTTATTTTAGTCTGTTCTTTTAATTTTTTACAGTCCCTCAGATATGTTACATGTGAAGTCACATGACATTGCTGAACAAATGACATTGTTAGATGCTGAATTGTTCCAAAAAATTGAGGTAAGTTGTCTTGAGTACTTCAGATAATTCCCAACTCAACCAACAGAGCTACACATCCTATGTAACAGAATTTCAACATTTGTTACGTCATACCTAGGATGAGGAGTATAATTGACCATCTTCAGGATAAACCACCATTGTGTAGATGCTGAAAAAGAGTAGGCTCATTGCTGCTTCTACAAAAGGTTATATTTGATGTTCTTATCCAGCTAGTGGTCTAAGAAGTCAAACTACTGTATCACTAGCCAGTCAACACTGAGGTTGTGAGTTCGAATCCCGCATGGGGCAGATGCACTCGACTCCAATCTTAATTGACTAAGATTGTCAGTTTTCCTACGGAAGGTCTGTGGTTCTCTCCGGGCAATCTGGCTTCCTCCACCAATAAAAACTGACCGCCACGAAATAGCACAATAGTGTTGAAAGTGGCGTTTAACACCAATCAATCAATCTTATCCAGCTATATTTAGTAGTTTTTCTCCATTTGGATCTTAATTTATATTTTTTTTACAATTTTCATATATTCATGTATTGAAAATGCAGGAATTTTTTTTGTCAGTAGATGTTCAGCAAATTACAATCGAGGGCTCACTATATGTACATGTATATATTCTGTTATTTTTATTAAAATGTTTTATGAATAAAAATGTTCACTTCTAATTGGCAATGTTATATAACTGTAGGCAGAGTTTTCTTATCATTACATTACATGAAACAATTATATTTGTATTTTTCTGAAGTGACAGAAAATTATATTTGAACAATTACAATAATGCTGAGCATTTTGATAATTTTGAAAAAATAGTGATGATAATGGAGAATTTGCTGATTAAAATGAATGCTTTGCTTTATATAGATTCCAGAGGTATTATTATGGGCCAAAGAACAGTCAGAAGAACAAAGTCCTAATCTTACAACATTTACAGAACACTTCAATAAAATGTCCTACTGGTATGTACTCTATATATATTTGTTTCAAAATGATTCATTAAAATGTCATACCAATATGTATAGTTATTTTCAGAACCCCTAAATGAAATGTCATTCTGGTATTTAATCAAAACAGATACATAATTTGTTGCTAATTCTGTTGTTTAAGTGGTAAAAAAAATTTAATAAAAAATTGTTCAAACACATAGAAATCAGTATCATATGGTTTTGGTGTTATATGCTCCTGCCGCTAGACGATGGGGACTTTTAAGTTTTACCCTTGTCTGTACATATTGAAATTTGTTTCCTTTCTTTTAATTTTACTTTCACCTTTCTTGAGTTATAGAATTGAGAATTGAAACGGGGGAATTTGTCAAAGAGACATCAACCCAACCAAACCAAAGATGTGGCAGGGTTAAACATGTTTTGTGAGATCTCAACCCTCCCCCTATACCTCTTGCCAATATGTCTCTTTTTAAAGGAAAAATGGCTGAATTTGCCATTTCTGCACTCTTAACTTTAGTTTGCCTCAACCAAATGTTATGAAACTTATATATACAATGCTTGTAATCACCAAACACAGATCAAATCTGAGTCCCATGGACACATCCTTCTTAAATTTTTGGTTTTTTGTTTTTTTCGTTTTATCTTTGTTTGTTTTGTGTGGTTTTTTTTGGGGGGGGGGAGGGGGTCCCATTGATATATTTATGTTTAAACTATTTTTTAATAATTAATTGAGCATGTTAAAGTAATTATCTTATATACCTTCACCTTTGTGAAAAGTGAATCTTGTCATTGAAATTTATTTGGTTGCCAATAATTTATTTCTTTACATTGTTATACGCCCGTTTACCGGACGTATTATGGTTTACCGTTGTCCGTCTGGCAGTCCGTCGTCAACATGTCAGATATTAACTCAAAAACGCTTTAACCAATTTGCATAAAACTTTGGTGAATTGTTTATATCTATTGATGTGAGCTTATAAATTTTAGATTTTACGTTTCCGAGTTATGGGGTTTTATTCATTAAAAAAAGGGGGATTTTCCAGTTTTCGGACAATAACTCAAGAATGCTTTCACCAACTTGCAAGAAATTGTGGTGAATTGTTTATATCTATTGACATGAGCTCCCTTTATATTTTTATATATATTAGATTTTACGTTTCTGAGTTCAAAAAAAAAGGAGGATTTTCCAGTTTTCGGACAAAAAATCAAAAATGCTTTCAGCAGTTCTTATGGAACTTTGTTAAATTGTTTATATCTATTGATGTAAGCTCCGTTTAGAATTTTATAAATTTTACATTTTACATTTCTGAGTTGGGGGGGGTTTTCCAGTTTTTCGGACAATAACTCAAAAATGCTGTCAGCAATTCTCATGAAACTTTGGTGAATTGTTTATATCTATTGATGTAAGCTCCCTTTACATTTTCATAAATTTCTAATATGACATTGAGAATTAATTGAACTTTAATTGTTTATAGTCTGACAACAGATTTACTTAGTATTGCGCAACAGCAAGAAATCTTTAATTGAATATAAATTCAATTCATATAACCAATTTCAAGTTCTTTGACTACATTTATTCAGAAACCTATAATATGTCAAATATTTGATACAATCCAAATTCAGACCTGTATCAAGCTTGAATATTGTGTCCATTTTTGCCCCAACTGTTCAGGGTTGGACCTCTGCAGGCTTATCCAGCTGCTCTCAGCGAAGCAGTTTATTTTTTCATGTCATCAAATGCTTAAAAACTATGTAGAATAGATTAGTATATAAATATACATTATTATTTAAGGGTACGGACCAGAATTTTAACCCAGGAAGAAGCAAAGGACAGAGAAAAATATTTCATGAAATTTATTAAAGTAATGAGAGTAAGTATTCAACATGAATTAAATAATTTTCAATCTTTGAAGAGAACTGCATTAGATTAGAAATAACAGTTCAGTGTTTGAAGAATTGCCACAGTCAATTTGGGAAAAGACAGTCATTGATAACTGTGTCAATAGTAAAACTGCATTTTTGTCCATCATATATTCAATCGACTGTACCAACTCTCTCAAACACAGTGCTGTTATTCCTCAATTTGAAATTAAACTATTAGTTTTTATATTGACTTCAGTATTTAGTATATATTTCTCCAGAGTTATTTCCCCTGATTTGCATAAAATATTGAGTTGTTTTAAATTAATTTTTACTTGTTTTGATGGTGAATTAAGTAAGATTATGGTAATTATATCATGTTTATGGATTACCTACTTATCTTCTATAACAGATTTCACGAGTGGTTTTACATCCAGTACCATATATATATACCTTTCTTTTTCAGCACCTCAGAAAGTTAAATAATTTCAATTCCTACCTGGCTATTTTATCTGCTGTTGATTCTGCACCAATCAGAAGACTAGAATGGCAGAGACCAAATTTAGAGGTAAGACTGTCTGGTAACAGACATATACAATACATACATATACAAATGGCAGAGTCCAAATTTAGAGGTAAGACTGTCCGGTAACAGACATATACAATACATACATATACAATATATGTACATTGTGGGAAAATATAAAATTTATTCGTACAAGCTTTACAAACAGATTGCAAAGCGAAAAGTTTTTATTCTGCAATTTACACCCTGCACTTTAAGGCTGAGTTGTTTAAATCCAAATCATTGTCTCTGATTTTTCAAAGATTTTGACATTGTTTAGATGTAGACCGAGAAGAAGCCCTAAAATGAACTGTCACACGAAAAGAAATATTTACATTACCTTTTGCTTAATATGGAAGCGGAGTAACAGGAGACCCTGTTATTTGTACAATAGTTGACTGATTGCAGGATACATAAGATGAAAGAAAATTATAAGGAAGCATGAAGTTGCTGTGTTGATACTCCAAAATAATTGTTTTCATCTTTGTATTCAGTTATTGTGGATTCATAATTATTCGTGAGATATCAATGTCTGTGGAAATATGTTAACCGTAAATGCAAATGTTTACAAAATACAATTGTTCCTCAATCCATGAAAAGTATGCCTAGAAACAAGGGTCCGGAAACGGTCATATATGCCAGACATGACCGATTTGGAAACTGAAAAGACCGAAATGATTTATTGGGATTTAGGTCTTTTTTTTTTTTTTTACAGAAATAATTTCGGTCATTTCATTGAGATCAGGGTTTTATCGGTCGCCATTTTGAACTTATTTTTGTTTTCAGGTCATCAAGAAAAATAGATTTGTTTGAGACAAAATACAAATTTTATTGATTTGTGTTAGTGATTTAATAATATTTATCATTAGTCTGTTGTTTATTCTATAATGTAAGTGAAAACAATGTACAGGACTCTGTCGAGTCACACCGTGGGGTAAGTCTGGGTTCAAGCCACTAGGTTTGTTTACATAGTAATTATCACCACTTGAGGATAGTAATCAATGTCCAGGAAGTTTGAATTCGGCTTGGGTGTCGTTATTGTCTTGATTAAAGCCATAAAGGCCATGTACACAAATCTCACCTGTAAACACCTGTTAAGCAATAAAAACAATATGGCGATTTGCTGTGCATCAAATTTAACGTTTTAACCATTCTGACCTAGATTTTCCCAAAAAGATATTATTTTATTCATTAAAGAAGTCAAATAACACTGTTGACTCGAGAATCTGTCCATTTTTATCCAAATAAAACATATAATCCATTTATAATCGATCAGCTGATTTGGTCAACGTTTGTTAAATATAGATTTATGTTTACTGAGATTGCGCATGGAAAATGGGGATCAACATGGGTTAATTGATGATCTTATTTGAAAGATCGATTTTACTGTTAACTTTTCGGTAGGAAATGGCAGATAAAGATATTAATAGATTTACAAAAGTGGTAAAGCGTATAATTTATAGGAATGCAGAATTAAAAAAAAATGTTTAAAAAAGGAATTAAAACTAAATAACGTAATTTAGATTTGAAGCCATACAGCCTATTTTAGAAATATCAGAGACATATAATACAATGTCTCTGGGAATATACTCAGCGAATGAACAATCTCGATTTCTTTTTGTTTTTTTTGCACTTCCGATTTTTTGAAACCATCTTACTCACAGAATGTAATGGGCGTTATCCTTTCTTTTGTTTTCCTGGCTAAACTTCCGATTTTTTCCCAAGTGAAGCCATACATTCTCTCTGGACTGTATTACAATGCAATTGTTTTTCATTGAACTGTTGTAATTGTGTACAAACTTCTGTTCAGATAAATTATTTATTTATTTAAAATCATGAATTTTATTATTAAATTCAATTGTTATCACTATACCAGACTTGAGTTATTTATTCAAAGAAAAGTTGAATCATAGTTTCCCCTTTTTGATCCTCTTATCGTAAACCAGGTGAATACACATTATCTTGTTGTGTATTAGGTAATCACTTACACTCATCCAAACAGCAGCAATTTGAACAATACAAACGATATCTTGTACATGCAATAAGAAACTCAATACAGTTTATTAATTGGTTTACATAACTTTATTTCAAAATGATGAAACATGCCGTAATTATTCCTCTTTTAATTTATGCAAATTTAAAGGGTTATGCATACGACCTCAGTGATGCAATACACAACAACAAAACGTCTCCTCGTGTAGTTTCTAACTCAGAGACATCACTGTTACTGTTAGATCAGGGTACAGTTACACTTGTTTGACCCAATACTTCACAAAAAAGGACTTTACTTGTCCATGTGCAAGACTTGTCACCCTCAGAAAAATGCATTATTGTGCATCACGATATTATTACATCACAAAAAAAAATTACCGAAATGACTTGGGAAAATTTCCGGATCCTTGCCTAGAAAGGAAGTAAAAATAGGTGCTCAACCATTGAGACAGTTATGTTTTTTTGTTTGCTCTGTCATTTGGCATGAAATAAAAACAATAAAGTGGAACCTGTCCAAAATAAACTGAACCCTCTATAAAGTGGAAATCTGTGTGAACTGACCTAATTTATCAGGATATACATTGAATTTTTTGTAGTAATTTATCTTCAGTGAACCAAATTCCTTGTTTCACCTTGTCTTGAAATTGGTATGTATATTCTTTTTGAGGAGTATTGTCTTTCTAACATACAAGAAGTGTGTATTAATATAATGTGATTATTTTTCAGGTTCTAAAAGAGTTTTGTCAGTTAATTGATAGTTCTGGTTCATTCAGAGCCTACAGACATGCGTTAGCAGAAACAGAACCACCCTGTATTCCTTACATGTAAGTTTGTTTTTTACTTGTGGTGATAAATTTAAGATTTATGAAACCCTGGAAAGCAGTTTTGCAAATTTAACAAGAAAGTCTGTCGAAACATGATACAGTTAACATTGAAACATGATGGGGTTATTTGTACTTATTTTACTATTACATAAAATGCCTGAAAATATCTCCAGGGCTCATGGTTTGTAGAAAGCTGTACTACTGATATGATCCATGCAGGAAAATATCTCCAGGGCTCATGGTTTGTAGAAAGCTCCACTACTGATATGATCCATGCATGAAAATATCTCCAGGGCTCATGGTTTGTAGAAAGCTGTACTACTGATATGATCCATGCATGAAAATATCTCCAGGGCTCATGGTTTGTAGAAAGCTACACTACTGATATGATCCATGCATGAAAATATCTCCAGGGCTCATGGTTTGTAGAAGGCTGTACTACTGATATGATTCATGAAAGGAAAATATCCCCAGGGCTCATGGTTTGTAGAAAGCTACACTACTGATATGATCCATGCATGAAAATATCTCCAGGGCTCATGGTTTGTAGAAAGCTACACTACTGATATGATCCATGCATGAAAATATCTCCAGGGCTCATGGTTTGTAGAAAGCTACACTACTGATATGATTCATGCATGAAAATATCTCCAGGGCTCATGGTTTGTAGAAAGCTACACTACTGATATGATTCATGCATGAAAAGTTTATGTATTACAATTCCAGAGGAAACAAAAAACACATTTACAGTATATGGTAGGGGAAAATATGAATTCAATAGAATTGAAAATTAAAAATTAGCATGTGGTTTTAAATTAATTTAAAAATACATAGTTCAATTTTAATTTGGAGGGTACAAAGTAAATCAACAGCACATTGTATTTAAAATTTGTTAATTAAAGATTGTTGTAATGATTTCAATCTATTTGTTGAAGCTTAAACATTTACACGAATATACAATGAGAAATAAACATGTGTTATTACTAGTTTGAAAAAAGAAACAAACTTATAACTAGTAAGAATTTACAATTCTCAATTCCATGGAGAATGTTAGGCACTGTACTCATGGTTGACATGTTAAAGTGTTACCATTTTAATTTCAAAACTTGCATTATACATTGTACTATCAAATGACATAGAGGTTGGACATACCTCTGTGTCAACAGTTTATTTTTTGTAAGGTTGGGGGCTTTGGGTTGAAGGTATTCAGAGTTGTGTTTTATGCCCCATTTATGGGCATTATGTTTTTCGGTCTGTGTGTCTGTTCGTTCGTCCGTCCATCTTCAGGCTAAAGTTTTTCGATAAGGTTGTTTTTAATGAAGTTGAAGTCCAATCAACTTGAAACTTAGTACTAGTACACATGTTCCCTTTGATATGATCTTTCTAATTTTAATGCCAAATGAGAGTTTTGACCCCAATTTCACGGTCCACTGAATATAGAAAATGATATTGCGAGTGGGGAATCTGTGTACTATGGACACATTCTTGTTTTGCAAGTGTTGGGAGCTTTGGGGTACCAGATACTAGTATTCAGATATGTCAGTAACATTTTACTTTTTTGTTTTCAGTGGTTTAATTTTACAAGACTTAACATTTATCAATATTGGAAATCAAGATTTCCTGCCAGATGGCAATATTAATTTTGCCAAGCGATGGCAACAATTCCATATACTGGATAGTATGAGAAGATTTAAAAAGGAGTAAGTATTTTGCTATTTATTCTATATTGTGAAGAAAAATATAAAATGTGATTTAAAATTGAATATTGGGGATGGAAATTGCCCACAGAATCCAAAATTTATTTTGTAATGATATTCTTACATTTGTCAAATGTCTGGGCATATAGTTTTTAGTTTGAACACTATTGTTTTAAGGTTTGTTAAATTTCTTACATTGAAACCTCAGATAAGTCAGAAGATAATGAATTGAAATGTTATTAATTGTTTTACAAGCTTTGTGTTCAGCTAATCAAAACAAGACTATTTTAGGGTTTTTTTTTTGGTTAGTTATTGGTGGTTTCATAGAGAAAATCAACAGACATTTAAGTGTTTCATTTCTTGGTTATAGCAAACCAAAAGTAAATTGTATAAATTACAATCATAGTTCTTTAATCTTTATTTTATTTATTTTATTGTTAGTTTGTTCCTTGTACAGATAATGCATGAAATATTTGTTACTGGATATTTAACAAACATTAATGTACATGTATTACAGATTTTTCTTTTATCTCTTCTTGTCTATAGTCAATAAAGATTTTATTATTTATATAATACTGATATATACTTATTCATAAGTTCTTTGTTGTTTTCAGCAAATATGAGATGAAAAAGAGTGAAAGGATATTATCAGTATTCAATAACTTTGATGACTGTCTCTCGGAAGAAAGTTTATGGCAAATTTCTGAAAAAATAAAACCAAGAGGGAAGAAAAAAGAATTCAAACCAGAATCTTGATCACTTAATGTTAGAATCACAAAAAAATCCTGGGTTAAAAAAACATGATGGCTCAATCCAAGAGCAAAAGAGAAGAATGATCCATGTCTCAAATGTTTTTCAGAAGGTGCTATAGATAACATGTATTACAAGAGTTATTGAGACTCTGTAATTTGTGTGATCTGGGTGTAAATTGTGATATGCAGGACTAACTTTCACCATTGTTATGTATTATTTATTTATACAGTAATTTTGTATTGTATGTATATCAGCAGTTAATTATGGCATGTTAAAGCGAGATGATTTTTCAGAAAAAGAAATGCATCTTTATGGTAAAAAGAAAAGTGACCGCACCTGTTAAAACATTTAAACCCGCTGCATTTTTATGCACCTGTCTTAAGTCAGGAGCCTGTTGTTCAATGGTTGGCGTTTATTGGTGTGGTTCATAAGTGTTTCTCGTTTTTTATATAGATTAGACCATTGGTTTTCTGGTTTGAATTGTTTTACTCTAGTCATTTTGGGGCCCTTTATATCTTGCTGTTCGGCTTGAGCCAAGGCTCTGTGTTGAAGGCTGTACTTTGACCTATAATTGTTTACTTTTTATACATTGTGACTTAGATGGAGAGTTGTCTCATTGGCACTCATACCATATCTGCTTATTTATATCATTATGTAATTTTTGTAGTGACAATTCAGGTTTTGGGTATTAAAAGGGGACATGGCAACTAAAATTACTTAAAAGTCAAAACAAATAGTAAATTGTTCTGACACTAATCTATGTTGCATTTTTATAATGCTCATAACAGAGTGTGTGGAAATTGTGTCCTTTGGTTTACAACTCCAAGCAGTTTGATTGGTGTTTTAACACAACCCATTTCAGTATATTTGAATTTGACCTGCATTTTAGTTCGATTCACACTACATGTGTATCTAAATAATCCCCTCCCTGGATATGAGTCTAAATCATCTCCACTGGTTATGAAAGTAATAACAATGAAAAACAGTATGTCCTATAACATTTATGAACCACAAGACCATAAACAAATGTATTATATATCTATATATATACTTATTTAACAAGTCTATTTACCAATAAAATGAACTGGTATACATTGAAAAAAAAAAACTAATTATTTTTTACAAGGCATTGTATAACTTATAATGACATGTCAGTAAACAAGATTATTAATAAATCATAATCCCATGAACAATGGTAAATATAGATTTTGATCATAAAAGTAACACAACGCAAAGTATAGAGTTTTATTCGTTTATTACAATACAAAAGAGATAACAACGGTAATAAATTAAATTACATTTTTAGAAATACTGATTCAACTATTCGCTCATTACCAATTATTCTAGATAATGTGATACATTGAAAAAAAATAGTTCTTGTATAACTCACAATGTCATTCTTTCCTTGAAATCTCCCAAAAAAGTATTTTGTACTAATTTTTCAAACACATTTTTTGTTTGAAAATTAGACATGTTGATGTATCAGAATATTTTGCCATTATAAAGTGATGTAAGGTCAAGAGGTCAGACAGGCATGTTTTGCCATTACCAAGAGATGAAAGATCAAGGTTACGATAGGCATGTATATATAGCTTTATATATTTATTTGAAGACAAAAACTTCCAGCTGGTCTGAGAAGTAAATTTGATGTGTTCAGTAGACATATAGAACCAGTAATGTGTATTTCTTATTTATCATAAATCACATATTTCTTATGTTCATTCAAGCGTGTATCTCATACTGTATCGAACAATGATCATGTGTTCGTTCAAACGTGTATCTTATACTTTATGGTGAACTATGATTGTGTTCATTCAAGCGTGTATCTCATACTGTATCGAACTATGATCTTGTGTTCATTCAAGAATATGAGGAACTATGAAACAAATTTATACAATATATGTGGTTTGTAATTCTGTCATGCAATGTGTATCATTATACTATAAAAGTTTTACAATGTGTTTTTCATACTGAAAAAATTTAAGGTGTCTTTTCGAACTGTCAAACTTTAAATAACTGTGTATTTCATACTGCAAAGATATATACTGTAAATTTAATTTCGAATCACTGATTCAATACTGTTAAAAATGTGAGATGTAATTAATGTGATTGCAAAACTTGTGTCAAGGAAAATCTCTACTGAAAATATGAATGTTTTTTTTTTATTATTGAGAACCTGATACTGATTCACAAAAACATAGCAATAATTTTCTGAATTTACAGTACATGTACTGGTAGTGTATTTTCATACTGTTATTAAACTGTAAAGCAATGTCTTTCTCCTTGTTTACAATTATGCAATGTGTTTCTCATATAGTTGAAAAAAATAAAAGCTATGTGCAGTTTGAACTTATACACTTTTTTCCCCATTTTGAAACTATCCACATTATGTTTATTGTACTGTAGCCAGTTCCTGTAAATAAGCCAGTTTTTAAAAAGAAATTTTTCTATTTGCTCAGAACTCCAGAAGTTGTGAAACAATTAATTAATAGGCAGTTTTCATATAGAAATTTTTCTATTCGCTCAGAACTCTAAAGTTGTGAAACAATTATTTAATAGGCAGTTTTCATAAAGAAATATTGCTATTTGCTCAGAACTCCAGAAATTGTTTTACATGATAGGAAACTAAATCATTCAGCACATATCCATAACTGAAAAATATTGAAAGTATGCTTTATGAATATAACTACTATGTAGAAAAGTATGAGGACCTTTAAGTATAATAAATATGATTCTTTTTTATATTGAACAAATAGAATATGTTTTAAATCAGTTATGAATTTGCATCATTTTATAGATGTCTAGTTGACTTATTATCTAATTTACAATGTAAAATAGTGCTACGCTACAAATGACCAGGTCTGTTACAGAAATAATTATATGGATTGGTTAGATAGACATTTTAAACGATAAAAAATATCAAAAGAGTATAGACATCTTTATCCATAAAGATGCCTTTACACTGTACGATTAACCATCCGATTTGATACAGTCGCCTAGTTAAATCATACAGTGTTCTGTTCACACAATACAATTTTCCATTCGATTAACCAAACGACATCTGAATTTAATGTTCACACGGTGTGATTTTTGTCCACACAACATTATAGGTAAGAAAAAAACAGATGGAAAATCGCATCGTGTAATCCCACTTTTAGCCTTCCACCATTCATATAAATTAGTTCTGGAACACCTTTTTACATATGTAAATTGTTGATATGCAGAATTAAATGCAAGATGACTTAGAAATAATTTGTTGTTATTATGCAAAGTACACTTATTGACCATGCACATTTTATACCTGTTTATTTATGCTAAACAAGAGCCCATTTTAGTACATTGTTGAGAGACATTTTTTAATGTTATTTATAGTCCAATATACCCAAATGTCCAAATAATTGTTAAAAGATGAAAAGCTGGTCTTTGAATAAATGTTGCCAGAATTATGTACACATATTTTTAAAAATAGATGCATCTTATTGTGTGTAATTTTTTTTATAGATGTGGAGTGCACTTGGAGATATATTGGAATTTTTTATTTCCTCAAAGTTTTGTCACTGATTTTTGAAATGTTATGGGGAAAAAAAAGAGTTATTAAGCCAAAACTTTTAAAACTTTTTGAACTAAAAGAGTAAAAGCTCAAAATGAATGTCAGCTAAAAGTCTGTGCATACATTTAAGGTCTTAATTTGTCCCAAATATCAGGTTAACTATTTCATTATGAAAAGTGTTTCACGACAACTTAATGTTACAATATCTTTTTTTGTCAAGGCAATCCATTAAATTCCCATTTCTGAAAACCAACAGAAATGGCCTGTATTCATTGAATTTGGTAGAAAATTGAAATTAAGTGACTTCATAAAAAATCACTGATACATTTATTTTCATAAATAGACTTATATTCTATCATCAAATCCTAATTTGAAAATTTAGCTAGAAAAAGGGGCCATATTAGGGCCACATCGAATCTACTCCTCTAGGTCTAAAAAAAATACAAAGATAAAAAATATTTTTAAAAATTTATGTGACTTTTAATTCAATTGATATCATACTAATGCAAAGAGAATTAAAGTATTAGTTGAATTATTTTGAAAGTTTCTATTTTCTGTCAAACATAATCAAAATAATATTGAAAAGTTTAAATTAAGGTACTTTCATTGCTATATTTTATCAATTGACCATTCGAGACTAGGATATTTTCAGGAAAATTTATTTTCTTTTCAAATGACCTTTTGGGATATGTAGAATATTATTCTACACACTGAACCAATTATAGATACTAGCGTACAGAGTGTGTTACATGTATATGCAATCATAGAACAAAATGCAATAATTTTTGATAGAAAATTTTGTACCTTTATTTTAGGGGCCAAATTTCATGTTGTACTTTGTAGTGTTATTCCTTCTGTGAGGGTCTCATTGGGGTCTTTAGGTGTGACAGGGGATTGCCGATTTTTTTGTAAGCGTGACACGTGAAAGTTAAATTATTGTGCCGTGAAAACGGGAAATGAAGTCTAGTGGAACACGGGAATTTACAAAAAAATGAGAATTGCTTACGTACATAGTGTAAGCGGGATACGGGAATCTGACAAATCAGTAAGCGGGATCCGAGATCAGAACCCCCCAATGAGACCTCCTTCTGTATCTGTATTAAACTTACTCCCAAAACCATACATGTGGTAACCAAAGTTTCTTAAAAGTGACAAATACTGTTATAATTCTATCAAGATCTTTGATTTGATATCAGGTTTTCATAAAAACCCATTTGTAAAGTTAGAACTAAGATCACATTCAGTGGAAAAATCACAATATCTGTCACAAAGTATTATTTATTTCAATACTTGGTAATTTTGTAAATAGCTCTAGATGCATAATCAATTGAATCAACCAATTGAGCAATTAAAAAGGTTTAATATATGTACAATTTTGGTTGTAAGTCATGAAAGCTAACTATGAAAATCCTAGCACAGATGCAAACATTGGAATTGCAAGATTTTTTTTTTTAATTAACAAGTGTACAACTAACATTTTGAACAAAAAATTACATGTAGTCACTGTTGCCATCTTTTGCATATAAAGGTGGTAACATGATTTATTTGTTTATAAACCATGGGGAATAATTTAAATTGATTTTTTTTTTGCTATTATGAGATCCCCAAAGTTTGACTTCTCTTTTTATTGTATATATATATTTGTGATACAGATATAAATCACAAAAGAGCTTGTAAATTTTACAAAGATTTGAAATTAATTAATCCTTTGTTTCTGTCATAACCTTTGTATATAAAGTTGTTTTTATACTAGTGTAAGATTTTTTAGTCATTAATTTATTTCTGAATGGACATTACACAGTGACCAGTGTTCTTGTATATTTATTTTCAGATAAGATATACAAATAAGGCAACATATGAAGAAAAAAAAAACAAACAGCATGTATATCTTGGTTTATTTTGATCAGTATTAAAACATTTTGACCACATGACCTTAACTAACTTTATCTCTAGAAAAAAAGGCATATTGTTTTAAAATCTTTTGATTATTTAACAGAATATTGAGAGCCATAGCCATTTCAGTAAAATTGAGGAAAGTATAACGAAAATTTGTTTTACACTATACTATGCATAAGTTTATAAATCTATGTAAATGAAGGGGAACATTACTTAACAAAATCAAAGGTAATTTATTTTCCTTTAGCCCTGTATTTGTCAACATTTTATGTTTTAAGAAATTAAAGTCATAAAACAAAGTCATTGTGATGAACTTGCAAGATTTTTTTAAAGATTAATTGATGAGATGAATTTCTCGAAGTAATGGCAATGTTTAAATTTGTTAAAAATTATTAGATGAAAACTCTGCTTATTAACTATGACAACAGTAAATTAGACAATGCGATAGAAAGAGCTAATGTGTAGTACATCTGACTGTGTAGAGAGGTTCATTTGGTCACTAAAATGTGTTGTTTTAGCTATTTTTGTGTACAAATATGTATAACTACCACATGCCTGATTAAAAAATTGTCAAATTATAAATCTGTGTAGTTTCTCTAACTGCCTTAGTAATTGTATTGAATAAAATATATGGAATATAATTTCATTTTGTACGTGTAGATACAAAGAATATTAAATTGATCTCCATTGTCCTTGCGAGCTCAAAATAACCCAACATTTCCGTATCTGACCAGTTTCACCAATATTCTAGTTACATGAGACTTCTGATGTTTAACATGCAAATTTGAGCTCTGAAATACTGCCAATTTTTATACTTTTCATGGACAGCAACAAAAAATAATTTGATTTTAATTATTTAACAGCCGTCAATATTTTGTCACTCCATTGATTGGAAGATTAGTTAAAGAACACTTTCTAGAAGCTGAGATGGAACAATAGTTGACAGGTTTTAAAACGACCGCAAATTTATTTGCGTTCGTATTATGTTAGGGTGTTGTTTGCATCCGAGTCTGAAGACATTTTGGTTAGCAGAGAATAAATTGAGAATAAGAGCATGGACCTCTATGAAATTTTAGCGCAACGTTCCATACCACTAAAGGATCATTGGGATTGTTTTTGGGGCTATTGTCCTAGCGGTTTTGTAATTAGGGGCCAAAAAAGGTCAGTTTTACTGGTTCATAGAAAATAAATTGGTTCACAGACAATAACTTTAGTATAAGTGTATGGATGGGATTTATTTTGGGGGTTATTGTCGTAGCTGTTTAGTAATTAAGGGCCAAAAGGGGCCAAAAACAAGCATTTTTTAATGTTTCAGGACAATTATTTGTGTTTAAGAGTATAGATTTCTATGAAATTTTACCACAAGGTTCCATACTTCAAAATTATAGTTTTGATTGATTTTTGGGGGTCATGGCCCAAACCATTGAATAATTAGGGGTCAAAATGGGACCAAAAACAACTATTTTAGTGGTTTGCAGGCAATAACTTGAGTATAAGTAAATGGATCTCTATTAAATTTTAGCACAAGGTTCCATTCCACAATAGGAAGGTTGGGGTTTATTTTGGGGGTTATTATAGTAGCTGTTAAGGAATTAAGGGCCAAAAAGGGGCTAACAAAAACAATTATTTGTCTGGTTCACAGACAATAACTTGAGTATAAGTGTATGGATCTCTATTAAATTTTAGCACAAGGTTCCATACCAAAAGAGGAAGGTTGGGATTTATTTTTGGGGTTATTGTTGTAGCTGTTTAGTAATTAGGGGTCAAAAAGGTGCAAAAAAAAGCATTTTTCATGTTTCAGGACAATAATTTGTGTATAATTGTATAGATTTCTATGACATTTTACCACAAGGTTCCATACATCAAAAGGAAAGTTGGGATTTATTTTTTTGGGGTCATGGTCCAAACTGTTTAATAATAAGGGGCCAAAAACAACTATTTTTGTGGTTTGCAAGTTATAACTTGAGTATAAGTGTATTGATCTCTATTAAATTTTAGCACAAGGTTCCTTACCAAAATAGGCAGGGGTGTAGCTGCCGTTAGGCAGTTTAAGCACGTGCCTACACATAATTTTTTCTCAAATATTTTTTTTTATAAAAATAATAAACAACATTGTGTGTAGATGCATGTGAAGTCGTCAAAACTCTTTAATTATCAAATGTCATTTGTACACTAGTCTTTCATCCTTAGTGAATGGAGTATTGGATAGAAATGTATGTCATTATAGATAGAAACTAAAAACTAGAACTTTGGTCCTGAACATTTCACTTCTATCAACAAATACTTGAATGAACCTCAACATGCTCAAAACCCTGTCATTTTATTCTTAGATACATGATTTTTGAATTAGCTGTTGTAGGCTTTCAACTAGCTTTCCACTTGGTCTTCATCCGACCTACAATAAAACCCTTGCCAAAGTTGGGCATCTGTTTGGCTATGCGGGATGTATATTAAATACGCAGTCACGTCTGGTCAAGTGTAGAGAGAATGCCACACTCTATGCACATTAAGAACACTTGCAACAACTCTTTGAGGGGTTTGTAGGTGGTCTGAAGACGGTCAAAATTTCTGTTCCTATCCAACAAACCCTCATTTTCCAGACCTTCATCCTGGACGACCCCTATTATAGGACCTAGATACCTGTTGTATTTATTGTAAATTTGTTTTTGTCCTGAACATGCATGAACTATTTGCCATTGGACGTTTAGCAATCAACCAATCAATCAACTAGCTTTCAGTAACTTCAAGGAATTGTATATCTAAAATAATCTTTAAATATACAATTCCTTGGTAACTTGGAGTACTCTCAGATCTACGTGTAATGACCATAATTATTCAAATTCCTAAGCAGGTAGGGATTTTACAGTACAGGATATCAGAAAATATGAATTTCTTGAAATTTGTTAGATAGTATGAACAGAACAGAACTTCTGCATGAGGCATCGACTGTGTGTGTGTATGTGTTTGTGTGGCCGGGGGAGGGTGAAGGTTTAAGAATCAAAAGATGAATGGTCGATGCGTAGTCCAAAGGATAGTATTATTTTATAGTAGTCTCAGTGTTTACGTGCATATTTTTTTAATGAAGGATCGTCAATATGTACTATCAATTGACGTATATATATATCAATTATCCTCAATCGGAAAGGAATAGATATGAAAATACTAAACAGGATGTACTGCTTAATAAAGGCACTGGCTACGGTTACATGGAAATGTAACAATAATAATAAAATTATTGTTACATTGGAGGCTAATTGCCGGAATACAAGGTTGGGTAAGGATCCGATTAATTATGTAACAATAATATTTGAGTCTACGGTTACATTGCGTTATCGTTACATATTAATTATGCACTTCAATGTAAGCTAGATTTATTAAACTTAAACCTTATAGCTAGTTTTGATGCTGAATTGTTTTCGCCAATAAGAACGAAGTTACGATCACATAATATCTGGACTCAGAAAATGAAAGCACTGATTCCACCAGTTTCAACATGTCGGCAAATGTTAACATTACTGAATTGCCTTCACAATATAACATAAACATCGCAAGATTAAAATAATATTTTTTCATATGAATCATGACGACATTGAAAGTTTCTTTAAACTTCAAAAAGGGATAGTGCAAAATGTAATTGTACAGTATGCAATACAGACGTGGACATTGCTGCATCACTTGTTTGTGATGGCTGCTTATTAGTGGTTTCACTAAAATGCGTGGGACTAAATCATGCTTCCATAAACAACATACGGGATTTGTAGAATTGACATTGTAAATAAAAAAATTAAAAATTGTATGCAATATTGCAAAATTCAAATAAAAGTTATCAAGCTTTAATTTGCATTAATGTAACAATAACGCAATGTAACAGTAGACTCAATTATTATTGTTACACTCGTAATTAATCGGTTCCTTACCCAACACTGCATTCCGGCAATTAGTCTCCAATGTAACACTAATTATTCTATTATTGTTACATTTCCATGTAACCGTAGCCAGTGCCCTTAATAAAAGGGCTACGCTGGGCAATGCATATTGTAAATATTTTTTTTATATTTCCGATTGTACTGCCGGTTAATTATTCATCAGTCAGATGTTATTGTTAAATTATGTATAATTCTTCGAACTTTTCTTCATGTTTACTATCATGATAAATGACAGTTCACGTAGCATTACATAGTTCATTGACATAAATAAATAAATCATCACGTCTCAGTGCTGCAGCATTTAGCAAACTTTTTTCTAGATTCTGTTGATATTCTTAAAATTTCAACAAATACAAAATTGCAGGTAATGTATTTGTCAACTCCGACTTCAGAGCACATTTTCTTGGCATCGGACAGAGACAGTTTTAACGAACTAGTGTAATTGTCCTTTTACTTGAATATCCAACAGATCGAACACACCTGATAACCAAACGCACCCTAAAATAATTGTCACTTTCACGGTTAAATTCAACAAACACGACAAAACAACAATACCTAATAACATCAATAAATCGTAAAGCTTCAGAAATTCTAAAGTAAACAAGAAATACGCGTGATAACTACAAATGACTACCGTAAAATTGCCTAATGTAGGCTGATAACTAGAAAACAGCGTCGGTTCATATGTGACAAATATCCGGTATTGAAATTCTCATAAAATGCAGATGTTTAACAAATCATATTGCTTATTAATAAGTTTCTTCGATTGAAGTATTATACGACGGCTTTACGGTCGTACCTTTGAAATACACAACGCGCAAATAATGTTAGTTGAAAAACAGTAATATTTTGTGTGTTTTTTTCCACAATTTTCAGATCATGTGCTCTGTGCTTTAAATATAGCACTTATGAAAAATCCCCTTATAATGTATGAAGTTCAAGAGTAACCCTATTTACCAATTTAGTTCACAAATCATGTTAAGAAAAGGGTTAATTATGAGATTAGTCTATCGAAACACCATATTTGATATTTACGACAAATATTTTTTTGAAGTTGATCAATCGATAGGCATTTTAAGACATTAATATTCCATGAGGTATTTAGGTAATTTAAACTCGTTAACTAAGAGTCTTTTTCAACATTCGCCGCTCCACTATAACAAAACAATATAAGAACAATTAAACTGTAAAAATCAGTTGAAAAGGGCTTAACTCATGAGATCGATACAAAGCACAAAATGAACTAACTAAAGCACTAAAGACACAAAGTACAGGTCTGAGATAACTCCCAGTTACTTAAAGCTAGTTCAAAGCAAATAATAATTACATTAATGTCTCAAAAATATTATGAAATTCAAAATTTTTATATTAGATATGACCAAGTATTAACGTGTGAATCATATCAGTATTATCTGGACTAATAACACCTCACAGTCCTGACCGGAAGTGGATAAGACAGCCTGTTACGAACAACCTTGTATTGAAATCGGAAGCCTTATACATATCGACGATTTATATCTATAGGGTCTCTGGATACCGGTAATACTGAGGGCTGTATGAATACCGCAAAGTATCCATTTCTATTTTTTTTTAAATCACCAAGAGCGGTTGTATTTCTGCGATTTTATCTATAATCTCAAGAAAACTTACTTTGGA